GCAGTTCGTTTAATTTCTGACTTTCAAAGCTCTGCTTCCTGTTCCAGCATTGGGTTTACCAGGTCCTCTTTCTTATTGGCCCCTCCTTTCTTCATTCCCATGCTCCCTGTGTCCCCTTCTAGAAGCAGGGTCGCCAAATGTGAGGAAACTCTTTTCAAAAGGCTGAGGAGACCAAGATGATACACAATCTGCTACAGGATTCTGCTAATGGGAATATAGTGCTGGGACTGATGCCTCTTTGATGCTTCAAATGCACAAACTACTGGACTTTGACTAAGTCAGTGTGAGACTTCTGTGGAATGTCTTCTGGGGTGGTTGGGACAGGCACGGGCCATTAACTTTTAATAGGACAGAGTTATTCTATATTGTTATTCAGAGCATGGCTTCTGGGTTCAACTGAACACCACTAACATTGCCCCTTTGGGAAGGAATGTATGCATGGATCAGTTCCCATCATTGCAATTAAGCAGAAAACTGTTCCAGGCTGGAGAACTCCCATAGGCAAGACAGATTGCTGGATCAGGAAATTTGAGTTTTCTAATGAGAAATAAAGCAATGTTGGATAATGTGTTTTGGTGCATATTGATCATTCTCAATTTTTCTATACCAACAACAAAGAACAAAGAAAAGTCTCTGGATTTACATATAATTTTGAAAGGTTTAGTAAAGCTCTGAAAGTCTGTTATGCGCTCTCCAAAATATCACACTTACTGTTATGAGTCCAACTTCACCTTCAGATTTTGTCCTAATATTTTTCCTCTATCTCCCCCCCCCCCCCCGCCCCGATGTTAATGGTATCATAATTTTGGCGCCCGGCTTCTAAGTGACCTGAGTTCCAAGTCAGCAATATTTCCAAACACTCCCTCTCTTAGCTTATGCTAAAACCCCATGGCATCATCTTTATAAGAGAACCAATCTGGCTAACAAGGCCCTTGGATTATAGAAACTTCGAGGAAGAGGGAAAGGCAGAATGAATTAAGCAATATCAAATTAATTGTTATGCAGCATTGCTAACATTTCAAATGGTAGTTACATACGTCACGAATCCCATAAAATACTTCCATACTGTTATCTTGGCACTTGATTCCTCCTCACAAACCTTTAAAGGACTTTCTCATAGATATGAGGGTTTTTCCCCTCATGAAATGTGAAAAGGGACTTTTGCGATACTGATAACCCAAATCATCAAAGAGAAGTACTTACAGGTGTAACACCCTTCACTAATATATTTGCAATAATGTGAATATGAGATCATGTCCACGAGTTTCTACTTTAGAATAAGACCTACACCCCTGCAATTCTATTTGCATGGAAATTATTTCCTCTTCTTTTCCACTTAAGCTTATTTCTGAAGCAGCCTATTGTTCCCTTATTCTCTGGAAGGGCTCTGATGGACGTGAAGAGGAGACAATGTTGGTAATCATTCGTTTAATCAAGGAAATCTCACTATTAATCCCTGCCATTTGGAATTTATCACAAGGCCATGAACAAGTTTCCCTTAGACTTTTTGAAGAAGCCCTGCCAATTGCACGTAGAAGCCACTGAGCATTCTTTGGCACTTCCCTTCCATTAAGCAGTCCAAACAATTTGGATTGTGCTTGGCTTAACTTGCTTCATGCTGCCATGATGTTTGACAACACCAATCTCACAACTGTATTTGAGAACACTACTTAATCAGGTTAGTTGGGCCGTCTGTTCCTGAGCAGCTGCTGGGTCTTGCTAGATTGATTCTGTTTCCTAGGTGTCTGGAGTGTAATTCTACAATCAGGATTCATTATATTGTTTGTACACAATGACAGACTATGATAAATATGCAGTTCGGTTAATTACTGACTTTTCACTATGTGTGTGTGTGTGTGTGTGTGTGCGCGCACACACACACACACACACAAACTTTCTCATTTTAATCAAAATGCAGCATCTTAACAACCTTCCACTTCTGGGCCTGGACTGTGGCAGTATTCCACATGCCCCTGCCCGCCCTATTTTTTTCCTGAGTTCTCGGAATCTCTCTGAAATTGCTCCTCTTACTATCCGATGCTCGCAGCTTTAGACAGGGAAAGAAGCAACTTATACTAAATCAGGCTATTGGTCTACCCAGCTCAGTATAGTCTATGCTGATTGGCAGAAGCTTTCCAGCGTTTCAGACAGGACTCTCTACAAGCCTTACCCGGAGATGTCAGGGATTGAATCTGGGAACAAAGCAGATCATGCATCACATGCTCTGCCCTTCCCTGTTGTTAAAGTAGCTCAGAAAATATGTCTATATAATTAGAGATGGCCAAGCAGTTGGCTACTTGAGCCCAAAAAGAATAGGGCCCATTTGAGCAGCCATATTGACCATTGAAACTCCCCAGTGTGCATGTGCTCAATGTTCAATCTGTTGTCCGAAGGCTGCAGTTTTGACCAGCCAGGATGTCTCTTCTTGGAAGATGGGGGGCAGAAAGCCACCCACCCATATCCATGAATAACCCACTGGGTTGGGAGGTTAGCTTTCAGCTCCATCCTCTGAGTTTGCCCCCATATCTTTCCCCCACTACCATAGGGATGAATGGAACCATCCATTCCCATGAGGGTGAGGTAAAAAAGCTCTCATCAGACACATCTCGGACCACAAATTTAACTGTTATCACACGCACTTTGAATTGGCAGTATCCATTAATCTCAAAAGACTTTGAGGTGTGAAACAGCAGTACAAATATGGGGGGGGGGATCCGTAGAAATACTGCAATCAATAATAATTGCTAAAATTAATCAGAGAAGGCAATCCATTAGACTAATTCTGATATGCTTTGTATATTTTTGAAACCAAAAATTCTGATATACAGAATTAATCTATGGGATTGCATGAGTTCCCTCCACATTGCTCACATAAGTGACTTTTCAGGTGAGCAGTACGCCTACCAATTTTGGGGTCACTATGAAGCAATCTTATTTGTCTCGCTCCCTCATTTTCCTCGTGCAAAGATCTACTTTAAAACATTGCATACCAAGCTGGGCTTTTGAGATGGAATTTTACCACTGCATAATGTGTTAAGATCCTGGAGTGGAAAAGAGGGTGCCGGAGCGCAAATTAGTATTATTACGTCTAGTTGAATCAATGGTATATTCAGACACGTACTTGGCAAAGTGGCTTTTCACACCTCCTTTGGAAGAGAATGACGCTCCCGCTGTTTCAAACGTAGTGCTTCCAGGGCAAATTTAAGCAGCCAACGTTCTTAAAACCCAACCTATACATTTATCAGTCAAAAATGATTTCACCAGTTAAATGAATTCACCCAGTGAAGCACAGAGGGAAAATGACTAAATGCAAGACCCTAGCAATTTAGCACATTTCTATTGAGAAAAAGTGTTTGTGAAGTGTTTTGAAATTCTGGTTTCATTGTAAGGCCATTCTGATAATTCTTTGTGCTAGCTTGAGAGTCTAATTCTAATCATAAGCAGAAGTATAAGGTACCAACATTGGTTCATACTAGATTTACACTGGTTCCTTTAGGATCAGAATCAGACATTGCATGTTTGGTAACAAGTGAGATGTAAAGAAAGACTTTTCAGTGTCAGAACAAATTTATGGAGGTTTTTTGTTCCCAAAATCCCATGCAGTGTTCTCTTTCAAGTTTACATGCCATAAGTAAGGTAGAAGAATATGCCATGACATTGTTTTATGTCTGTATCCACTGAAGATTGCAATACAGTAGATGATTCTCAAGGAAATCTGATGATACTCAAAGAGAAGCCAAGATTTAACAATGCCTCTACCACTGAAGGAAGGCAGGGGGTGTAAATACCAGTAGGTTTAAACTGAGCTACAAGTTTGAGGATTTGCTGGTAGGGGGAACATAACATCAATTCGATATGCAACCTAACAATGAAGACCTATCTGAGCTTGGGAATAATAATAATAATAATAATAATAATAATAATAATTTATACCCTGCTCATCTGGCTGGGTTTCCCCAGCCACTCTGGGCAGCTCCCAACAGAATATTAAACACGATAAAAGGTGCCTTGCAAAGCCCCATCTGCTATATTTACACCCAAGTCCCCCTTCCCAAATGGAAGCAAAACAATGAAGGCTGCCAGTTGGACAGTAATTGTGGAAGTGGGGCGCGTTAGTTAAAAGGCTGAGATCAGAAATTTATCTTCTCAGTGCCCCCCATACTGCACGTGGTGCAACATTTTAAAAATGGCACGTTCTCAATCAATCTCTGCAGAAGGCACAGGTAGCTGCATATGTTGAGCATATGCTGGTGATAATGGGGATAATGAGTACGCTGAACACTGGCCGATAAAGGTCACATTTACATGATGCATGCCCTGCCCTTGGGGCATACATGAGAAGCCACAGTATTGTTCTGTAAATTACATATACATTTTTAAAAGTTCAAGTCAATTTCAGCAATGAAATGCATCAACTGGCTTCCAGCACAACAGCTGCCTCCTTGGAGCACCGAGCTGGAGGAATGCAGAGTCTGCAGGCACAGAATAGGCCCATAAGCTCATCGTGATCTCAATTTAAATAGTAAGCAGTAGACCATTTTCAGGGGGCAAGGAAGATCACATTTGCATACGGTGAGCTGGATAATTTCTTTTTGCAACTCAGATATTATCAGCCTTCAGTAGCATTACTAACAATTTGTTGATTGGGGTTGTGGGGGGCGGGAATCAGAAAGTGAAGAACTGGAAGAGCCAGAAGATTACTTTAACAGAGTTGTGTATGAATAAGCCTGCAGGTTCAGTTAAGGGTTAGAAAATGTTCATCCCTATTAGAAAAGTGCAACAAGTTATTTGCTAGAAAAACTTATTTGAGCAGGGGGCGGAGCTGAGGGAAGCCCATCATCAGCTCCATTGGCTCCGCCCCCTGGCAGAGCCCATGTCCCAGTCTGCATCCCCATTGGCCAATGCAGGAAGCAGGCTAAGATCCAGCTCCTGATAGGCGGGGGGGGATATGCCCCCTCCACCTATCAGGAAGGGCATTGCCGTTTGAATTCCACCGTTGGGGCCCCAGTGTAGCCTCTTCCGTCCAGCAACAACCCCGCACCAAGAGAGGTGAGCGGACTTGTCACAGGATCAGTCTAAAGATGGATGAATCAGCCTGCACCTGGTACTTAGCACTTTTACATGGGCTTATTCAGAAGTATATTTCATTCTGCTTCTGAATTAATCTGTGATTGATTTATTTTTTAAAAGTCAATATCTAAATGTGTGTTTGAAAATACAACATGAATATAAATATGGATTTAAAATGCATTTTCTCTCAAAATACACATTTTAAAATGTGTTGTGATGTATTGGGGGGGGGGGGAGAGAGAACCACATCAAAATCTGGGAAGCACAGAGTTGTATTTGTTACAATCGAATTCCCAAAGCATCTCAAGATCAACCTACCATGCAACATCATCAATGCCAGGTCTTAGCTTGGGACCAGAATTATACCAATGATGGCATCAACTGGGTTTCTGAGAAGAGGACCTTCTACAGCCAGGGGAAGCAACACCAGAGAAGGTCCACTCTCATACATCCACATAGTGTACAGGGGTCCCATAGGTGAGATGCAGAGGGGTGCCTGTAGGCAGGAATATAGATATCAGAACTGCATAGATAGTCTTGCTTCTTTACTTACATTATACACTTTCTGTGTAATGTCATCTATGGACCAGGCCCATCAACAGAGATGATAGCTTAGCAAGAGGGAGCAAATCAACATGGGTCCTTTCCCCATTAATTATTATCTACCCACTACTACCCGTTATTCTTATTGTGGCTTCAGTAAAAATATAAGTGCTTTGCCATTATACTTTTTTCTATCCTGAAGAACAGGGGTGGCTAACACACAGCCTCAGGACATGATGAGGCTCCCTTACCCTACAAGGCCCCACTGATTTTGGCAGTGATGACAGCAAGTAGGCACAACACTCCACTGAGTTAAGCGCTCTGATGGGAATGGAAATTGCACCCTCAATGGTCACCAGATTGATCAGTCAAGAGAGGCAATAATTCCCTCCTCAGTTAATGTTCATGGATTGTGTGTCCTGAGTGTGTGTGCAAGAGTGTGGGTTGCCACACTGGCATGCGGTGGCAGGTTGACTGCAGGCATGCGGGCCTTGGAATGTAGATCAATAACAAAAAAGTTAGTCTCTCCTGCTGCAGAACAGGGACAGCAAAATACTACCAGCACCCCAAATAATCTCAACCAGCTATTTGCTCGACCAGATTAATTACTTGAGTATTGCTCCTGCATCTCACCCATCTTCAGGGTATTTATCAGGCTCGGAATACAGAGCACCTCAGCTCAGAATTGTGCTGACCAAAACAAACCATTCCTGTTTCATATTTCAATCTGGAAAGTTTAACAAGAAAAACAAAACAATCTGGGAGATCTAATGGTAAAAATGTGGCAAGAAGCTGCAGTTCTATCAAAGCAGACTGTTTGGATTTGTGTCTTATCCCATGCTATTTCAGCAATCTCTGAAATGTTTCTGGGGTTTTTCCCGTCTTGATATGAACATTTTAAAGTTGAAATCATGTTAGTCTCAACATGACCATATCTCAATGGTGAGGGACCTGTGGTCCTCCAAATACTGTTCAACTCCCAACTCCTCTCAGCCCAAGTCAACATGCCCAATGGCCAAGGATAATGGGAGTTGTAGTCCAGCAACATCTTCAAGTTCTTATAGTCCCCTCCTCCATTAAGAGATGTTGATTAAGAAAGGAAGGAAAGACTTTTGTGCCACGTTATATCTCCCTTTCCCCTTCAGTGCTGCTTTTTGCATTTAATAATTGCTACACTGGTCTAGGACTTCATAGTGAAGCACAAAAAGGTGCTTCATGAAAGAGGGAAATTGAAATGTCCTCAAATGAACTCCCTTCTGCTAGAAAACTAAGATCATTCCGTGGTTCAGTAACTAAGTGGTACTATCATTTGCTGATGCCATTTAGAGTGTGCTAGAATTGTTTCTCGCTTTCTGTCGGGGGCCCAGTGGGGTTAGAAGCAAACAGCATGCTCCAGAGCAGGCACAGGTGAAGTCCAAAAGTTGTCACTGTGAATCCAAGGGCCCTTTAGGCCATTGACTTGGTTTTAAAAAAAGATGACTGGATTTCAGCACGCAAGCACAGCAGAGGCATCTGTGTGGCTCCTCTAGAGAACAAATTGCTCAGATTAAAGAGGCAGACCTGGGACAGTTCTTCGGAAAGGCCAGCAGAGCCCCATTAGCTCTCTTGGTCACCGGATACCTTTGGGCTGCACTTCCCCGCTCTGCCATTCTTACTGTGGTGCTGTGGAGCAGCAAACTGCTGATGTGCAGAGGGGTCCCCCCCCCCCTTTATCAAAAAGCTATCAAATATCAGAATTGCTTCAATTGCAGCATGGGGTGGAGGCTACCTGCCTGGCTTTGTGCATTTTATTTCTCCTGCCGTGGTCTGTAAATGCCAAGTCTATTTGCATCATGCTGTATTCCCAGAAGTGCAATACTCATTCCCAGAAGTACAATACTCTGTACATTGTTCTCCTCTACTCCATTTTTGAAACTGAAACTGCCAGAGAAAATACTTGTCTGACAAGGGTGCTTCCCATCTGAATGTAGAGGTTCCAGTTGTAAAGGTTCCAGTTGTATATATCAGCAGGCTTTTTGAAAAGCAAATTTATTTTTATCTTAGGGTTACAGACCAAGTGAGTTTTTCATTCAACAAACTTACACAGAATTTATTACTAAAATGGGGGTGGCAAATCTCTTCTTCCTGCGGCAGCAGACACCATCAATACACCTTTGGGTTTGACCTGTGGAAGCTATGGAAGATGCCTTCTTGAACAGGCCCCTTCCCCTGTGTCCTGCACCCCAACCCAGCAACAATGAGCAAATTCCATGTAAGTTTAAATTAACCAAATACTTTGTTCAGCTAATGCAACTCATTAAAGTCTCTCCCATTAGAGATTAGAAAACATTTTTTCTCCCTATTTAAAGCAAAATAATGAACTGAAAGAACCAAAACTCTAAAGACCCCCATTTTGTATAAGATGAACATTATGAGACCTGAGAGAACTCATTAAGGAAACACTGAGGACAATTATAGTTTTACAGCAATGGCCTCCATAAGGATCAAATATTTTTTGATCCTTTTTTTTTTGTTTGTTTTCGTTTGATGAAAACACCATTGTCACTTTAAATGATGCTGTTGTGTGTGCCGCCATGGGCTCTGATATATTCTCTGAGTGAGTGACAGATTTTCTCACAATACTACTAATGCAGCAAGGCTTAGAAGATTTTAAATTTACTGTTCTAATTTTTGAGCATTCCCTAGCTCTTCCAAGAGTAAATAATCTGTGGAACAATCAAACGCTTCACCCTTTAAACTCCCTGCAGTGTTGATTCAGACTATCTCCCTCTATTCTCTTCAGTCAAACACAGAGTGTGAGAAGAAGAAAACTTTTGCAATAGAGCTTTCAGTCCCAATACTCTTAGAGCAGACATATCTATCATATAGAGAGTCCAGCATCTCTCTTTCTATCTGCATTTGACAAGGCAGTTATATATCACCCAGAGACGTGGTTCACCTGGGATGCAAAAGAAGCAAGAAACATTCAGGGAGAGAAAGAAGAGGGCAAGTATCTTCCTTCCTACAGCTCGTCACCAGGAAATCAATCAGAATAATGTGTTTCTGATGCCAAAGTACTAGTGGCCCCTCAATATAACAGCTTCCAGGACAATAATGTCCTTTTTTCCCCCTACTGGACAAGAGCAAGCTTTTAATCAAGAGAACTGCAGTGGCAATCAGGGGCTTGATTGCCCACTGGAGGGAGTCCACATTGCCACACAAAATGACTGGAGATGGTTTCAGACAAACCGAGGTTTGTGAACAGAACATTCTCTGCCAGGGCATATGCTGGCAATGGGCCCCTCCCTCTGCTCACATTCACCTCCCTCAACAACCTTTTCTTTCTGGCTATGTTTTTAATATATCACCACATGAGAAATAGAAATCCGGAAGCTAAGTTAAAACATTTTCTTCACCATTTAATTAAAAGGTCTGTGGCTGCGTGTGTAGGTTTGCTGTCTGTGATTTTAATCATGTGAGCAGAGCCTCAGGGGGAACACCCAGCGCTCACAACAATAACCATTTGAATGGGTAGGAAGATCACACTCAGGGGTGCAATCTGCCGTCTTATTACCCAAGAAAGGAAGGAATAACGGAGGAAAGCTGGTCTGCCCTGCCGCACACCCAGTGCATTTTGGTAGTGTGGAAAGACTAGCTCAAGGACATGCAGAATGTCCTGCGTTTGATCAACAGCATCCCCAGACAGGGCTGGCAATGCCCCCTACCAGGAACCCTGGAGAGCTGCTGCCCAAATACAGAGATGGTGGGCCAGTGTATAAGGCAGCTTCCTGCATTCTTATGATTTTGGATTTTTTCTTTTCCGGGGGGGAAAGCTTTCAGTTTTACCTCTCACTTTAAAAGCAAGGGAGTAGTAATTAGTATCAGGAAAACTAAAGGTTCTCCTTTGCATTCCTGCATCTCTTCTGGGTCCTCTTTCATTCTGTAAACTGCAAAATTATCACATGGGGAAAATATTGGAACAGGTTTGGTTTGTGGGTTTTTGCCTTGGCACATGCATATATGTGCACTTTGTCTCTTGTTTTTGGCATTCTTCCCAGTTATTTTCGTTTGTCCCTTGTGCTGCTTGAAATACTCACATGTTTAGAAGTTAGTCGGATATTTTTGCTTGTGCCCAACTGTAGCGTTCCACGAGCAAAAATAATGCTTTTGACAGAGTAGAGGATCCCACTGGTGAAAAGGGGGGGAGACAACTTTTGTCAATTCTCCTTTTGCCTTTTAACTGGAGAAGCTAGGACTGCATCTGGGGCCTTCTGCATGTGTCCCATCACTGCGGCTGCGGTTCTTTCCACTGTGGCAAGGATGTGGGGAGCACGAAGCTCTCTTTTGCTCTGGCTACCCCCCCCATGCAAAACTCTCAAACCCTTGATGCCTGCTTTGCTGCCTCAGCTGGGGCTGATGGGAATTGTAGCCCAAAAGCACCTGAAGGGCAAATTGAGAAAGGCTGCTCCAAAAGATGCCGAAACAGGATGTCTCTTGAAAATTGGGAACCTTTTTCTCTCGTGCAAACTCCGCAAAGAGGCTCCAGAATTCAGCCAGGCTCTGGGGGATTGTTCGCATGATCAATTAGTGTGTACTTGATTGCTGAGCTGCAGCTAACGCTTTAGAGTGCAGAAGCAGAACAAAATCGCTGAGCTGCAAATGCGCAGATTAAAATAGAGTGTGCTGGAGGACCAGGTGCAAAGGACTCCTCAAAAGAATGATTGTGCTATACATGGATGTAGTGCCTTTTCTTGACTATTTTGTTATGCACGGAAGAAAGAGTGCTTATTTTCACTCTTTTCATCCGTGTGAATTTTGCCTTGAACTGTACTGATGCCAAACACAATCTAGTATTTTTTCAGGAGGAATTTAGATGCTTTCACTATCCCATTATTTGCTATGTCATTTCTGCTCAAAGGGCACAGCCTTGGCTCTGCAGAAATTAGTGAAAAACAAAATTTTGAGATATTCTTCCTTTACATGTTTTCATTTGCAGTTCATGATGGCACAAGTAATACTCAAGCAAGTAGGTGCCAACAAGCATATGAATGTAATTTGCTTAAATTGTTTACTTCCATGATCAATGAATTTCCATATCCTTTAAAGCCAAAATGTATCTGCTGTATGTTATGTTCAAGTAATTAATAGTCCACAGACTTGTGGATTCCAAAAACAACTATAGAATTCCTTACCATGTGTGACACACTCCCCTCTCACAGATTTGGGTTGTCCTGCCCCATAAAACCTTGTTGATGCAGACGTTTGATTAAAGTGGCTGTGGAGCTGGGCAGTCCACTTACAAAGGATCCCACTCTGGGATTGTTTTGACGAAGTGCAGATTGTAAATTCTCATAAATAAATAAATCCCCAAGAACCCGCCCCCCCCCAACATTCTTTGCTATTAAAATTTACACAAGAGTAGGACCAAATGTGGGACATGGGTGGCACTGTGGTGTAAACCACTGAGCCTTGGACTTGCTGACTGGAAGGTCAGCGGTTCGAATCCCCGTGACGGAGTGAGCTCCCGTTGCTCTGTCCCAGCTCCTGCCAACCTAGCAGTGCAAGTAGATAAATAGGTACCGCTCCGGCGGGAAAGTAAACGGCGTTTCTGTGTGCTGCTCTGGTTTTGCCAGAAGTGACTTAGTCATGCTGGACACATGACCCGGAAAAACTGTCAGCCAGTAAAGCGAGATGAGCACCGCAACCCCAGAGTCATTCACGACTGGACTTAACTGTCAGGGGTCCTTTACCTTTACCTTTTTAGGACCAAATGTAAAGAATTGGTACCGCTTAAGAATTCTGCAGAAGTTATTTGCAAATTTTTTCCAATTCCAAAAGCCTAGAATGCACCCCTTGTAATTTATGTGTATGTATGACCAGTATATTCCGACCTTCATGGGAATAACATAATTAAGGGACAAGTTAGTCTGGTTCTTTCATCACTATACTGTATAAAAAATACATAATACCAACATGTGTAGTACAGTGTCTAACTCTTCACTACCACACAGACATAAATGGTTTGCATAAGGTATTACATTAAGCCTTTCTTCTGAAACAGCTGGGTGGTGGGACATTAGAAATGAATTTGTGCTATAGAATCTATCAATAATATGATGATGAAGGGAATAAACTTTATATTCTAAAAGCCACCTTCTAAGACAAAAAAAGGAATAAACAAATTCCTGCATGGTCAATTTGCTGCTTCTGTTTTATTGTATTGTAGAATTTTAAGAATAAAACTAATTGCCACAGGTGGATGATCTCACTGAGCACAGGGCCTGATTGGAGATAGTTGTTTCATTTCAGAAAGCAATTAACTGTCACTGTGCTAGAACACAGAAAACAATTTCACAGTTTAGCAGAGCTTAGTGTTGTCCATTGATGATGTTAGCTACCAAAGCATAAAGACATACACACAGTCTCTGTGATTTCCAGGGCTAATGTAATTCAGTTTCAGCCTTAGCATGAAGTTGCTGGGGGCAGCACATTCCATTTTCTTGCAACCAATCTTTGTGTGCCATTCAAAATATGAGTTTCGGTCTATAGTGGGGAGAGGGAACATCATTTTTTAATTTTTCTCTAGGCCAGTTCTGCTATAATTCATGGAATCTTTCTCAATGTGATGTCACAACTCATACTATGTTTTGAAATGCATGGAGTCGAATGCAGCGGTAGTATATCTGACATGGAAGATCTACTCTCTCTCTGGCTTACTTCTGTGTGTTTTGTCAGAGTGCATCGGCTCAGAAGCTCTCCATAATTCAAAACCAATATGGGGCAGAGTGTCGGCATTCATATAGGTTCATTACACTGGAACAGGTGCTTCATTAGATGTGGAGATGTGGAGACTCTCCCTGTACTCTCAAGCCACATTCACATCATACCTTTAAAGCACTGTGATACCACTTTAAACAGTTATGGCTTCCCCCAAATAATTATGGGTTCTGTTGTTTGTTAAGAGTGTGGGAGTTATTTGATGATCCCTATTCCCCTCCCAGAGCTACAATTCCCTGTGAAGAGGGAATGATAATGATCAGAATTATAGCTCTGGCAGGGAATAGAAGTACTGTACAGTGGCGCTGTGGGTTAAACCACAGAGCCTAGGACTTGCTGATCAGAAGGTCGGCGGTTCGAATCCCTACGACAGGGTGAGCTCCCGTTGCTCGGTCCCTGCTCCTGCCAACCTAGCAGTTCGAAAGCATGTCAAAGTGCAGGTAGATAAATAGGTACCGCTCCAGCAGGAAGGTAAACGGCGTTTCTGTGCGCTGCTCTGGTTCGCCAGAAGCGGCTTAGTCATGCTGGCCACATGACCCGGAAGCTGGACGCCGGCTCCCTTGGCCAGTAAAGCGAGATGAGCGCCACAACCCCAGAGTCAGTCACGACTGGACCTAATGGTCAGGGGTCCCTTTACCTTTACTTTACAGTGGTACCTTGGTTTACGAACTTAATCCGTTCCAGAAGTCCGTTCTTATACCAAAGCGTTCTTAAACCAAGGCGTGCTTTCCCAAAGCAGCAGGGGACTCAATTTACAAATGGAACACACTCAACAGGAAGTGAAACATGTTCTTATTCTAAGGCAAAGTTCACAAACCAAAACACCTGCTTCTGGGTTTGCAGTGTTCTTAATCCAAGTTGTTTATAAACTAAGCTGTTCTTAAACCAAGTTACCACAGTATTCTAACCTTCTAACTAAGCACCCTTAACAAACTACATCTTCCAGAATTCTTTGAGGGGAGCCAGGACTGTTTAAAGTGTTCTAAAGGTATGATGTGAAAGTGGCCTCAGTAGGGTAGATTGGGATAGAGCTGGGACGTGGAACCTGGTGCTCTCTATATGCTATTGGACTACAACTCCTATGATCCCTGCCCCATTGCCCATGCTGGCTCAGGCTGATGGGATCTGGAGCCCAATGACATCTGAAGAGCCATAGGTTATTCATTCCTGGGGCTGAAAATCTGTTTCCATCTAAAGATACTATTTCTAACTAGGGCATCTCTGCTTATTAAGGGAGCATCATTTTTAGACGGCATGAAAGTAGCTTGAATGAGAGTAACATGCATGGCAATTTCTTGCTGAAGGAAGAAGTTAGATTATGAAACTGGGTGTCTACAAACTTGCAGCCCTTCATCAATAAAACAAAGAGTTTACTCATTTAACCACAGCATCATAGCTGTTGTTATTTCAAAGCTATTGGCCCAATTCTTTTGGATTTTTGAAGCACTTATTTCATTGCCATCATTCCTGTATACACCGTATCACATTTCCATAAGTATTAAGAATCTTATAAATATTTATGAAGCATTAAATCTCTGTCCACATAAATAAAATATTCACAGCACATTATTTCTCTTATTCCCTCTGTTGCACCACTCACACCAAGACAACCACTTGCACATATGTATAAGAAATAGGTGTGCATTAAACTAAAACCTTGTTGGTTCAGAAAATAATTTAAGTTACAAGATATGCATTAGAAACATTTCCTTTTTTAAAGAAAAAGCTGCAAGATAATAAACTACACCTGGTTGCAGTTTAACTTTCTATACTATCAATTCATGCCTTTGTGCCTTCCAGAGTAGACTATTGCAATGCCCTCTACATGGGGCTGCCCTTGAACACTTTGTGGAAACTTCATTTAGTTCAAAATGATGCTGACTATCTTCTGATGGGCTCAAGCCACATAACCTCCAACATTTCTCTGATGACAATAGGGACGTCCTATTCCACAATGATCATTTTACTATTTATACCCCACACATCTTACTGGGTTTCTCCAGCCACTCTGGGCAGCTTCCAACCTATATAAAAAAATAACAAAGCATTTTTTTTTAAAAAAAACTTCCCTATACAGTATTGCCTTCAGACAGCTCATGGGTCTGATAACTCCATAGCCTCCAACATTTCTCCAATGAAAACAGGGATGTCTTAAGGAAAGGCAGGACATTCTGGGATCAAATCAGAAACCGGGACAGCTTCTCTAAATCAGGAACATCACTGGAAAATAGGGACACTTGAAGGGTCTGAAGCCAATGCATGCTTATTACATCTGTCCTACAATAGCTCCATAAGCTACCAGAATATTTCTGGACCTAATTCAGTGTTATGTTCTTGACCTATAAAGGCCTAAATTGTCTGGCCTTGTGAGCTCCATCTCCCATATGAATTCCTCCACACTTAAAAGATCAGTCAATAATGCCATGTTGAAGGCTTATTTGGACAGAAACTTTGCATTTACTTGAAACGTAGCCTTTTCAGTAGTTTCAAGATAAACTGCAACTACTACAGTGGTACCTCGGGTTTAGAACTTAAGTCATTCTGGAGGTCCGTTCTTAACCTGAAACTGTTCTTAACTTGAGGTACCACTTTAGCTAATGGGGCCTCCCGCTGCTGCTGCGCGATTTCTGTTCTCATCCTGAAGCAAAGTTCTTAACCCGAGGTACTATTTCTGGGTTAGCGGAGTCTGTAACCTGAAGCGTCTGTAACCCGATGTACCACTGTATTTATAAGGTGCCTTTTTATGGCAGAAACCTACCAGGCTGGCTTCCAACCGTATAAAAGTAATATATAAGGTGTAACGGGTTTAAAATGTGAAAAAGAAAATGGGCGCTTCCAGATGCAAGCTCATTATCACAAACAAGTCATTTGGAAATCGCAAAGTGGTAGCTAGCAAAAACAAACACAATTAACCAGATCCCCACCCCACCCCCTCAGATGTCTAAATCTGGATTAAATGGAAGGAAAATATAGGCTGCTCATTTGTTGCCGATGACCTAGTATGGATTCTGTGAAAAACATGCAAGCATGAAAATGGAAACTGTTCAGTGGAAACTGTTCTATGGAATTGATCTCATTGAGAGAGATGGCCTCCTAAGACCTTCACCTTTTCACTGCAGCCAAGCAGAGTGAAGATTGGCCCAGCAGGAGAAGAAGCGCAGGAATGAAGCCAGAAGTGGCATCTGGCAGGCCTGGGGATCCTCTACTGGATCTTCCACTACAGCAATTACTCAGATTATGAAGCTGGCCAGCAGCACCTCTGTCTACCTTGCTGTACTTTTAATTGGCCACAGTGGTGGTAGAAGCGGCAGATCCCCAGTAGTGGTGTTGGCCAGCCTGGGCTCTGGATTTGGGGCCCCAGGGCTGACAGGCAAAGGGCCAGTGGAGCTGGAGGGCTGCTGCAGCTGGTTCTGTCTGTCTCTCGACAGGTTTCCTGGGCCAACCACCAACTACCTCTCATCACATTGTTCTGCCTGGATGCTGAGGTCCAGCGCCAAGGGCCTTCTGGCGGTTCCCTCATTGCAAGAAGCAAAGCTACAGGGAACCAGGCAGAGGGCCTTCTCGGTGGTGGCACCCGCCCTGTGGAACGCCCTCCCATCAGATGTCAAAACGATAAACAACTACCTGACATTCAGAAGACATCTTAAGGCAGCCCTGTTCAGGGAAGTTTTTAATGTATGATATTTTAGTGTTTTTTGGTTTTTATGGAAGCTGCCCAGAGTGGCTGGGGAAACCCAGCCAGATGGGCGGGGTACAAATAATATATTATTATTATTATTATTATTATTATTATTATTATTATTTGCAGTGCCGCTACCTGTCTGTAGCCAGGAGAACTGTAGTGTGATGACACTCTTGCATTTTTATTATATGTAAGGTATTTGGCAAAAGAGGTGAAGGTACAGATATGGAAAGTGTTTCAGCATATAACTGAAGCAAAAGCTTAAAGGAAAGCACCCATGACCATTCTGTAAAATCCAAAGCAAAGATTTGAATTGAATATCACCAACAGACAAAATGCCACCTAGGAATCTATTAATTCATACCATAGTTCAGGGAGGGAGAATATTATTGCTACTGCACAACCCTAGTTATTGGCCATGCTGATTGGGGGAACTGATGGGAGTTAGAGTCCAACCATTTCTGGAGAGCCTCTAGTTCCCCATCTCTGCTGCCATATAGCCCCTATGGGTCTTAAGGGTTGTTCGAATCTGCACAATGGGGTGAGCTCCTGTTGCTCTGTCCCAGCTCCTGCCTACCTAGCAGTTTGAAAGCCCACCAGTGCAAGTAGATAAATAGGTACCGCTGTGGTGGGAAGGTAAACGATGTTTCCATGCACTCTGGTTTGTGTCACGGTGTTCCATTGCACCAGAAGCTGTTTAGTCATCCTGACCACATGACCCAGAAAGCTGTCTGTGGACAAACACCGCCTCCCTCAGCCTGAAAGCGAGATGAGCTCCGCACCCCATAGTCGCCTTTGACTGGACTTAACCGTCCAGGGGTCCTTTACCTTTTACCTTAAGGGCCATACTACTGTGCTAGAATCTGGAAGCAGATCTGGGATATACAAGCAGCTCCTACAAGAACAAGGGCTGCCTACTCATTTCACGTAGAACCAGTGAGAACAAAAGCATGCATATTTATAGAAGCAATTGAGAGCAAGAGGGATACATTAGCACACCGGAACTCCTGTACCACAAGAAATTATTGGAACAGGATGAGACAAGAGTATTTATTTGGTTTTCAGAGGTCAGCTAAGGTGAGGGCCTTTTCCCTATAGCAGCCCACAGCTGGTGGAGAACACCTGGCAATGCAGAAAGACTGTTGCACAGCTTCTGGGCAGATCAGCTGATTCCCCAAACTGTTCTGTTAACTGACATAAAAGGTTGATATTTTTATTTGATTCAATTTTTTATATCTTTGTGTGTGTGTGTGTGTTTACTTTTTAAGGTTGCAAGGCAAAGGTAGTAAGTAGCAGATCTGTTGCTACAAATAGGGAAACATGTAACTGAATAAGTCATCCCAAGATCTGAGTGCATTTCTCAGTGGGAAAACGTTTGGTATTGACTTCATCTGTGGCTTTGTGATCCACAATATTCAAAAAAGGAACAGAACTATACTTACTGGTTAAGTTGCAAGGTTTCCTTTAACAAAACTGTACACTGCTTAGAGATCTTCAAAATACTAAGGCATTTATAAAACCTTTTAAATAAATTCATAATTTTCTGATGGATTACACAGTGTGTGCTGCCTTTCAATGGGAGTGGATGGTCCTGGGATTGCATCCAAGGCTAGTCTTACGCAAGGTAGACCCATTGAAGTTAATGGATATAACTAACTCAAGTTTATTAATATCAGTGGGTTTACTCTGAGTAGTACTAACATTGGATACAACCCCTTCAGCTGTATACCGAATACTTTTTTGCCCCTTTCTCTCTCTCGCTACTCATTTTCTTTGTGTTCATGATCTCACTTTTCTGTTTTATATTTTTGTCTGCACTAAATATCTTAACCTCTTTATGTATTTGCCAGCTGTTTTTATAAGATACCTCTGGGCCATTTTAGCTACCCTTTTTTATATTTCTGTCAGCTACCACATCCTTTTCTGAAGAGGTGGAGCAAGCAGAATTGCATATGATATTCTAAATATAAACACATTAAAAAGTGTCCGAATGAGGTGGACTAAAGTGCACACCAGAATTTACAGCGTAATCCTATTGAATTTAATGGGAATTTACTCTCAGGTAAATGGTGTTAGGATTGAAGGCTTAGCTTTGGTTTTGCATTTCCTAAATAGTCCAGTGCAGTTCATGGCTCAAAAAAAAAAATCAATACATTTCAAAATGCACATTTTGTGGGGGAAATACATTTAGAAATATGTAAGTTATGTATATTTTAAGAGAATAGTATTTATATGCATTGTGTGTATGTGGGCTTTTTTTTAATGCAGATTGATGCATAAAACAGACAGAATTAAACAGTAAAATTTGCACGCTCACAAAGTCCTTTTTCCTGCCCAGAAAGATTATGACATGGTTATGTGTTGTAGTCAAGACCAGGATACAAGTACATAAAAATCCATAAAAATTTGCATTGAACATGAAATACAATTACACCCATGCTAACTTTTACTATGTTATTTCTATTATTGTAAGTTGTTTTGGAGTGTTGTTAACATGTGTTTTAATTGTAACATGTCCTGTGACCTTTAATTGTAACATGTCCTGTGAAGAGCAGGTAATACATACATACATCAGATGTAGCCTCCATATTGCTGAAATATCCAATGAGGAAATTAATTCTGTGTATGTACATATATAGACATCAATCCTTTTATATGGATTTATAGTGTTACTTCACTATCATTGTATTTTCTGTTCACTGTCTTAACTGCCATTGTAATTTTGCATACGTGTTCTTTTTCTTCTTATGTACCTGCACCCTGCCATGTACCTAACCATATCATTACCTTTGGGAGTGCAAAGGGGAAATATGTGCACAACTTTTATCTTTTTGCCTTATCCCTGCCATATTCAACTTTATTCTCAACTCCGCAAAGTCAGCCACCTTCTTTCAAACTTGGGAGTTGAAATATAGGAAGCTTAACAAATACAGGACATTATTCATACAGTAAATAAAAAATTGATTGCCTCTAGGTCTGGGGGTAAGGTAATGCCGGTAAAGTGACAATTTGATTTAGATCACTCATTCATGCATGCACAATGCTTCAAACAGCCTTTTGCATTCGCACATGAATTAAACAGCTTGTGATTGATGAGGGAGCAAGATCTAATTGGTGTTTTAATAAATACACTCTGACTTGATAATATAGCTAGATTTATCAGCAGAAAATGCCCCTGTCTAAGTAAAATTATTAAGGTATCGCACAGGAACCATGACAAATGCCAGGGAAGTAATTGGCTGTAGTATCGGCTCAGGCAGTAAATGGGGATAGGGTAGATTTATGTGCTTTTTAGTACTAGGATCTTGAATAAAAATCTGGAAGACAAACAAGACTAAGAGATGGCCTGGCAATATTACTATTTGTTTCAGCTGGGCCATGTTCACAGATGACAAAGATATCTGAATGAGGACTTTTTCTAAGGGAGAAAGGCTTCAGCCCCCCTTTCTGTTTTGCCACAGCTATCAGCTCAACGCTGCATGTTCCTGCTTGTGTGAAACCTCCTGCAAATAATCTGCTTATTGTGATAGCATCTTGAAAAACTACTGTTCTCTTGCCATTCCTACCTTGTTCCCCCTCACACATGTTCAGTATGTCACAAAAGGCATGGTACATCATGTGTTGATCACAGAACCTAGAGCATCATTTTGCCTGCCTTCTGGTGTGGTCCACTTGCAACCATTACAACAGTGATTGGGACCCAGTAAGTGGAAGGATCCCAAAACTCCATTAGGAAATGATCATCATTATCTTTGGCATAGTCAGAGGTGCCATCTTCTTAAGAGGGTTGAGAGGGCCCATGCACAAGGCCATGCAACATTATGACAGCATATGCATGATGCTGCGAGGAGCCAGAGGGTGGAGCCAAGTGCCTCCTGAATATTGAGGTGGTTTGGCCCCCTCAAAAATACTTGGGGGGGGGGACTCCCTAGGAGTTGGTCACCTGGGCATGTTTGACGCTCTGGTGCATATAGGTGAGAACATGTCCACTACAAAATGGAGAAGTAAGAAAAAGAACAAGCTTGGCATGCAAAAGGTCTGAGGTTCAAGTTAAGTCCATTTGGAAGGGGCTTCCAACCTTCAGGGGTGGCTTTTCACAAGGCAGAAAAAGCCAGCTATATTTCTTGGCATTTTCAGGTGTGTGCATTCAGGGAATTTATCTTAGTTTTCCTTGTAACATCTTCTGTATCCAGGATCTTCACTTGCAGTGATCCATGACAGCTTGGAACCTCACCAGTATGCGCCCAAGAGATGTTTGGTCAGTCACCTCTGATGCCACTGATCATCCAGGGGTTGTTTGTGGAATGGAATTCAAGTACCACTCTCTGTTCCCATCTGTCTCCACCAGTAACGTGGGACCTCATCTGGCATCTGAACCTTTGGTCCTCTATGGATGTGGGAGGGAAAGGAACATGGAGAACACTACTGGGAAAGGTTGAAGTGTAGGAAATCAGATTTTTAAAAAATCTTAAAGCATTATGTCAATGCGGTAAAGTATTCAGCACCATGTGTAAGGAAAGGTGAGCAAACATATGTGTATTCTGAAACCGTTAAAATTTATGAATACTTGGAAGGTTTGTGGGACAGTGCCCCATTTGCGCCAATGCACCAGCCTCAACCTTTAACTGGATATTTGTAATTATTATTTTTTAAATGATATTGGTTTTGATGATAAATAACTGCTCTTTTATTTGCTTGTTGTTGCTGCTGGTTGTTGGTTTTTTGCAATTTGACATAGATTTAAAATACAGTACATTCTGGTACTCAGTGTAGTCTTAGGTCTTGTTGACACATGGTTTTAAATCCCATGCATAATCTTTTAATCCTGTAACCAAATACAAACCATTTCTATCCCTGAAATATATACAAACATTTGCATTTCTCCCATCCATGCACACTCCTTTAGTTTTCCCTATGCAAGACACAGCACACACACAACATTTGAATGGCAATGCTCATCAAGGGAGGCCTGGCCCCTTCAAATACTTTATTTGGGGGAGAGGCAAAGAGACCTTGGCCCCTGGGAGTTGACTCCTATGCTTGGATTCTATAACCAATTTTATTCTGATTCCATTCCTATCCTATCCAATTTACTCTCACATTTTCGCCCTCCTTCCTTTATCTAACCATCCACATCTGCTATCAATTATTCCTCCCACTCACTCATATTTCTTTAGGATCCTCTAATGTAGAAGTTCCAATTCTCCTGCACATTTTTTTTTTTGCATGATTTTGCCCTGTGATAAAAATCAGTTTCTTTTTCTCTCCCATCCTACTCCAGATACTCCACATTTCATCTTTCAACTCCCATTCTTAAATCTTTCTTCTTCTTCCTGGCCATTTGACACACTGATTCTCTTAGAGTTGGCTGGCACCCTCTCATTTTAATGAAGTCTGTCACTCATAAGGCTGTCTGGAGTTGGTGCTGGCTCCATCTTCTCCTTTTTTGTCATTGATTGTCCCTGATTAACACTCCAGCATCACCATCTCTTTTCTTTCTTTTCATTAAAGGAGCGCTCACCCTGCCTTGATTAGTTCAGGCAAAAGGCACACAATGTTCCTCACCCCCCAGCCCTTCCTTTTAGTTATCTGAGCTCTCCCCACCCCACCCCACCCCCACTTTTCAGCATTATTAAATTAAGCTGATTTTCCCATTATCATATATTTCTTCTGATACCACTGATTTCTTCTGATGATATATTTTAGGTAACAAGAGGGTGGGGACGGCTTTCCTTACTTTGTACAATCCACAGCCTCTGGAAGATGTCTCAGAATATACAGTATATTCCCATTTAGCCCTCCACATCAAAATTGCTTGTTATGTACAGTTAGATTATGCATATTTATTTCATAATTAGTTTACACATCTAATCCCATAACCTGGTTCTGATATCTTGTAATTCATGTCTGCAGTTCCACCCATCACTGCTGCATATTGGAAAGGGGTTATAGTTAAGGCTATAGGTATTCTGGATGAGGAATATAGCATCTTGAAAATCACTACTTTTGTTTCTTTAGAGCAAGTGTTTATCTCTGTAACCTATGACTGTGAAGATAGTCTTGAAACTGTGCACATATGGAAGAATCATCAAAGCCAGAAGAGAGCTCAGGTGAAGATGCCCTGCTCCCTACCTACTGAGCCCCTTGAGGCCACTTTGTGAACACATTTTGTCCACAGACATGACAATCAGTTTCAAAATAAATTGTGCAAAATAGAAAAAAAAGAAGATTGAGATGTAACCTGCCCTGCTTCTGATCCACTGCATATCGCTAGGTACCTTGACCATTCTACTGGAACATTTTTTTCAGTTTCTTAAGGGTTTAACTACATTTACATTAACTATATTGTTTACAACAACATCAGGGGATTTCCCCCCTTATTTCTTTCATCCTAGACATAGTGAGGTCCTATTTTCAACTACACTGCAGAGTGTAGAGTAGGGAGATCAAACTTTTTTCTCTCCTGCCACTTTCACACCCTCAAAACAAAAAACTCCCAGCACTGTAATTACCAATAGAAATTCCATGTGTCAAACCATGCTTAATGTTAACATAGTGTAGTTAGGCCAATGAACTTTTTACTGAACTTGCAAAACTTTCAAATTTCAGTCTCTAAGAAGTACAAACAAGAAAGATTATTCCCTATAACTTTCCAGTGTGTCCTCCTTATTCATTTTTAATCCATAGCTAAAGGCTATATTGGAATAGGTGTGTTGGGATCACTTGCTACAAACCTACAAATCTTGAGGGTGGGGTGGAGGGAATATAAGGCAGACTTGAAGTTTTGTGTGAAGTGTAGCACATTAAATGCAAAGCTATTACAAATAACTTTTAATAAAACCCATGTTTGCTAAGTGATGCAGTCAGGCTACCGAGCTGTAGCCTTCTTCAGTCTCAGCCAGCCAGCTCTCTTTGCAGGAGATACCCTTCTGCTGCTAGGGGAGGCATAGCTGATCTTGGCAGCACCATAGGAGACAGGTGCGTCCTTGATTATCAACAGTGTGGTGATGTATGCTGTTGCTATTAAATGAGATGAACCATAACTCGTACATCTGGACAGTTCCACAGTATCGGTAGAGAATCCCCAAATACAACAGATCAGGTAGCAGCAAAACGTCATGTTAAAAATGATGGAGAAAGGTTCATAAATGTTTTGTGGAGGAAGCAGTAATGTCAGACATTTCCCTAACTTTGTATAAACCAGAGATAGCCAGTGCAATCCTACGTAACTGTAAAACCCATGTAGCTGCTACCTCATGCTGACAACATAGGTGTGTGCGCTGGGGATAGAGAGAACCTTAACTTGACAGCTACAGAAAGTCTTAGGTTATTCTATACCTGGTTTAAAGCTTTTGCATCCATCAGGGATGAGGAACTTGTGACACAACTTTCAGCTGTAGTTGAATTCCAGCTCTCATTAGCCCCAACCAGCATGAGCAATGTGCAATCAACGCAGAGTCTTCTTTATAAACAGAATGAAACTTTACTGAAGAAAATAAACTTGTTCAGAAACAACATAGTTAAAGAGCATACACAGAGTGCTCATGGCAGCTATCTGACTCTTCACAGAGGCATAGTCTTAGTTACTGATTTATTAGAGTCCTGGGGCCACCCTGTCTGTCTTGGATTTACATTCACAGCAACATGTTAGAAAGCGGGTTCTTCTTCACGGAGAGCATGTGTTGTGGTGGGAGCGACCATGACATTCCCTGTTGCTGGGCGGGTTAGTTTGGATGGCCACGGATTTGACGGGGTACCTCCAATATTGCTGGGGAAAATTGATTGTTGCAATTTTATTTGATTGATGGGGGTGCTATATAGGTCCCTGTGTGCAGCGTTGGGCTTCTTCTTTTCGCTGCACACATCGGATTACCCGCCCACCCTCCCTTTATTTAGGGTTTGTTTGCTCTGACCTTGCTATGTCTGTCATGGGGTCGTTTGCTTTTGAGCAGGGGCCCGGTAGGAATTTTACCATTTGGCTGATTGGCTGGTGCCATTTGGGTTTTGCCTACTGCGTAGCAAATCATCACAACTTGTAAGTTGAGGTTAGGCATTGGTTAATTTTTTGGTTGGTGGAGGGGATGAGGTTGGCTGTGCCTGCCCCTTCAATGCTGCTGCTGCAAGGGTATTCCGTTAAAGGAATCCAGGGGCTCACCATGCTTTTGTCCGTATCTCTGACAAAGGGCTAGGGCCATGCAAGAGCCCCAGGGAGCATTTGGGGAGAGGTGTGAGCCTGGCACCCAGCTTTTTCTCTCCCCAAAACTGCTTACCCTTACTGACTTCCGCATGGGTGTGGTTGTCAGTTCTGTTCCTACCTCCAAGTGGGAACAGATAGTCGCTAACCAATGCCTAAGCAACCACTCACTGTAATTCAATAAAGTTGTGGCCAAAATTATGCCAAAAACCAAAACAAAAATGATGTGTGAATGTGTTTTTATTCAGGGGTGTCTTGGGGGTCCTCGACACGCAACATCACAGACACTACACTGGGCCTGCCTGCAAACAGGACACAAATTTATAGAGAGAATGAGTCATCCTGTAGATGAGTCACAATGATTCAGCAGTTTGCTGTTAACAGTTAGAAGTTAGCAGGCTTAGGCTTGAATGGTTGTGTAGGCCTTGTAGGACTTGCCTTACTTCTTCTGCTCTCAAGAACCTTTGTCTCATGACACAATGGTCAGAATTACTAGAGCTGTAGTCCAACAGCATTTGGAAACAGTAGAGGCTGGTCCATAATTCTCTTTGAATTTGGCTCAAGCTGGATACAAACCAAGTAATAGTGGCTCACTAATAGTGGCTCACTTAAGATCCACTGAGAGGACAACTGGGGTGTGGGAAATGATGCTTTCTCACACATAGTGGTTTTCTGTTTCTTGGTGGTTTAGAATCAAAGCATGTAGCTATATAGGGTATGTGTCACAGCTGTATCATTGCAAAGTTCAAATAAACCAAATTATCAAGTGACCCGAATCCAGAATCTGCAATTGCATGTACATGTTTTTCAGTAGAAACTCTCATAGAATGTACAAGAGTAGGCACATTGAAATGAAATGACTTGATAGTCATTACTAATGTTCATTAATTTAGATGGGTCTACTCTGAATATTACATAGTTGGATACTCTCTCTGACTCCAGTCTGCAGTACAGGCATCACAACACCAGCCACCCTCACCCTCATCACTGAGATAATGCTGAAATGCATTATATAAAATGTTAAGTATTAGTATCCTTAACGACAACAACAACTGAAGATGTCTGTATTAACCATAGAGGGACCATTGCTTATTTCCTTGCTGATCTATCATGTTTAAACATCTCTTTGATGTATCCTTGAGTAAGTGACATGAATTATTTCTGTAGTTATCAGGAGTTATCATAGCCTCAGAAATGTAATTTACTCTGCTGCATAGCTAGCCTTGTTTGTCACCGTATACTTGCCATTCAGGTCTGCACATAATCCTTTGTGGTATTTCTTGCTGACAATATGTAATAATAAATAACTCATGCTCTTTCCAGCAGAGCCTTATTCCTTTTTAATAGAATAGAACCAAGCTTATGCTCCCCCCCCAACCAGCAATTCTCTTTTTTAAAAAATCGCCAGGCTTTCTTTATAGAAGGTCCCTAAAAGTATTTGAACCCGGATACAACATCTTTTAAGCACCCACCATGAAGTTGGTCATCTTGCCATCTTGCCTGTGGTGCACCTGGAGCCTAGTTTTGTGCTCCATGTATTTCAATTCAATACCATCTAGACTCTAGAGAAACCCAAAAACGCTAAGATGTTCTATGCATGAGAATGCCTGTGGGAAGAAATATGACAGGGTAATCAAATGCTTGAAGGCACAACAAAGAGCCCGGTTCCATGTGGGAAGTTCCCATTGGTGCCAATAGAGGTTTTCTTTGAAACCCAAAGAGCAGCTTTTGAGAGCTATTTTGGGTTAGAATTGTGGCAGAGAGAGTTAACCTTCATGTTGGGAGGTGTCAACACAGCCCACCCTGTTCCCTTCTGTTTCTCCCATGGCACAGCCAAAAAGCTGCACCAGAAGGGTTGGAAATCGGGGTGTGGAACGAGGCTGAAGAAGCCCTGACACACACAAAGCAAGAGGTCAAGCGGTGGATGTGTGCATCTCAACGAAGTCCTGAATGAGCTGAGTGGGTGACTGAGAGGAACGGAAGAGACAGAATGGTGGGTGAGTGGGGAAGCAAGTGGCAGAAATAAGGAAGGAGAGAGGAAAAGGGGATGGAGCAAAGAAGGGAAGCTTTACCTCAGAGGAGGAAAGGGCAAGGAGCAAGCAGGGAGACAGGAGACATTCTGGGGCTGTTAATTCCCCACTGGTGAATCAAGAGGAGGGAGAATTAAAAGGTGTGGTGAAAGGGACTATGCTTTACAGTAAAAAGGGCATGATCTGTTGGTGACGTGAGCTGCAAACACAAAGAGTGAATGGCTCACCAAATGGTCAACGGGTAAGAGATATCTTGGGGCTCTGAAGATTCTGGACACCTAAGCAGGGAGGACCGAGCATGACCTTTCTTATGCCTCATCCCATAGTCCTGTAGCTGCTTTTTGAATAAGAAGTGAAACCCAGTTAGCCTAGTCTCAGCATGATTGCTATAGGACTGTAGTAGTGTGCAGGCAGGCTTTTTCATTGGTAGCATCAGTGTTATGGAATGCACTCTCTGTTGAAATATGAGAAGACCCATCTGTATTAGCAGTCTTTTGACCTGATTCTGCCGTTTTAATTCCTGTATTGTTTTAATGAGATTGTTACACTGTGTATTTTAATCATGGATGTTTATATTTTAATGTACCAGGTTTTTATACTTTGTAAACTGCTGACCAGCTTCTTTTGGCTTTGGGTGGTGTATTAATAAACAACAACAACAATTCCATATGCGTTAACTGCATTTATACAATGAATGTCACCTCAAAGTACATCTAGGCAGCCATATTTTCTTCTGTGCAATTTCCCAGGAAGGGAGTGCATGATATGACATAGAGTTGCTTCCTGGAAAGATTTTTTTAAAGCTGGATTTTTATAGAATTGGTGAATAATTTAATGCTGCCCTTTTCTTTTTGTGTGCTGGAGTTATGAAATTATTTTTATTATATTTGTTTTCATTGCATTGTACTGTATTGTTTTATATTTTATTACTGCAAACCACTCTGGGGCCTACTGTCAAAGGGCAATATACAAAACTCTTCAATAAATAAATAGTTTGGTCCTAGTGGGCATAGGATTGCAGCTATATTCATCCCACACCACTTCAGCATTTACACAAAACTGGCTTCGTCTTCTCTTACTTGTTGGTAGATAGGAAATGCTCTGTACTGGGTGGAGACATGATGCAGGAGGGCGTGAGGAGGGTCAGTTGTGGGAGAATGAGAAATGTCTCTATTTCAACTGAGGAATGTTGGAAGGTATGGGCTTTAGCTTTTTCATGGGATTTCCTCACCCTGCCTGCTTCTCTTTCCTGCTTGTTTCTCCACCCCCTGGAAGTCGTAGATTGCTCTGGACCATCCAATCCAACCTGTAGTGATCCATGGTTGTCTGAACCCAACCCAACCAACACCCAAGTCCCTCCAAATAAGCCTAATGTGGCTCAGCACTGGGCCAAATCCAGTGCACAGCTCTACAACTTACATAGCATGTACTGGTATGTTAATTGCATTCACATAATCAGCATCACATCTAGTTTGTGCTATGCATACCAGGGGGTGATGGGTTCTGTGTAACACCTTTTGGACCCGTTGAGCTCCTGGTGTTTGTGTACAGTGGTACCTCTAGTTACGAACTTAATTCGTTCCAGAGGTCCGTTCTTAACCTGAAACTGTTCTTAATCTGAGGCGTGCTTTCACTAATGGGGCTTCTTGCCGCCACTGCGCCACCGGCACACGATTTCCGTTCTCATCCTGGGGCAAAGTTCTCAACTTGAGGTAACTCTTCCAGGTTAGCGGATTTTGTAACCTGAAGCGTTTGTAAGCTGAGGCATTTGTAACTTGAGGTACCACTGTGCTGTGGAGCTCTGAGGTGCAGTTTCATTTTTGAGATTTGTGTTGCAGTAATAAAGGGCAGTTGTGCTTGAGAGGCCTGCTTCCTCCTAATTTGGTTTTGCCTGTAGGGATATCTGTGGGTGGAAGGCGTGGGTGCCCGCAACACCTCCATGCACTCTGCCCCATGTTCTTAGCCCCCAATCTTTCTGTGTTGAGCTCAAACGCATGTAGAACACCATGCGTGATCAGGGTTCCCAGTCACACTAAGGATGCCTGCAACATCTCCTTGCAGACCTCCAGTCCACACAGAAGAGGTTGGGGACCGAGTGTGTGAGGTGACGGCACAGGGATGTTGGGAGTGAGGTTTGTGTGCACACCCCTGCACACCCACACCCACCTACAGATTCACCATTTGCCTGTTCATGCCTTTAAGAAACTGAACATGCCTTTAAAAAAACTAGCAATCTGAGCAAAGGCAGAAAAAAAGTTACAAAGCAATAATGAGTGGAAATTTTGGTGGAGAAAACAATAATAAAAATGAAGAGGCAATGGGAAAAGAAAATGAAGAAAAGACTTTACTTTGAAGGAAACACTAATGAAACAAAAGAAAAATGTTCTGTGACTGAATGAACAAATACAAAGTGCTGGGTATATTTTAGGAAGTATATAAATAATAAATAATAAGGGATACAGAGCTCCATTTTCCATAAATAGCACACTGCCTACAGCTTTTGAGATGAATGCTGACAGAAGGCTGTTCTTACCAGCTTATGATTTTCTCCCTTATTTCTACCTAAGCTTATTGCTACATTTGATAAAATTCTTCCTGCAAGGAAACACAATTGCATAGCTTTGGAATGACACAGGAAGTCAGACCTATAGTCTCTCTATCTCAGTACTGCCTGTGCTGACAGCCAACAGATTTCTTGGAAGTTTTACCCAGCAGCCCCACCTGGAGAAGCCAGGCATTAAACACTAGTAATTTTTTGCATGCAAAACAGGGGCCCTGATGCTGAGCCATGACCCTTGAGCCACGGCTACCTTCTGACTAACTGATGGATCCTGGTGGACTCAGCCCCTCCCTGCCCTCAGAACATGCCATCTGGAGAGGAGGGAGGGCTTATATGTGGGTTGCTACTGGTGGAGATGCTGCCACCAGCACTTTTGCCCATGCACACATTCGGTAGGTGAAGCAGGAAATTCTGCACTGGCTGGGTGACACTTCATTGACAGAATCTGGCAGGTGTCCCTCCCCCCAAAGGTGCCAGATTAAACCCTGTGGATACCCCTAGGCAGTTGAAAACCTGGGGAGGGGGCTCACAAATTATCTCTAATACATTTTTGTAATTTTCTTTCAATATCAAATCAATACAGTGCTACCTCAGGTTAAGTACTTAATTCGTTCCGGAGGTCCGTTCTTAACCTGAAACTGTTCTTAACCTGAAGCACCACTATAGCTAATGGGGCCTCCTGCTGCCGCCGCGCCGCCGGAGCACGATTTCTGTTCTCATCCTGAAGCAAAGTTCTTAACCTGAAGCACTATTTCTGGGTTGGCGAAGTATGTAACCTGAAGTGTACGTAACCTGAAGCGTATGTAACCCGAGGTACCACTGTATATTTTTGATCCGTTGTCGTGGGGCCTGTAAAAGCTCTGGGCCCCATAGGCTGGTGTCTACTCTGGTAATCCAGCACTTCTCTGTACCCGTGCCCCAGTGGTGCAAAGGAGTTTTGCAGCCTTGGGGCATTCTTGTTGTAAATGGCAACATTTCAATGTATTTATTTAGTGAATGTGTAGACCACTTTTCAGCCAAAAAAGATTGCACTCATCCAAGCATTTAAGTGATTTTCTTGTTTATGTAAAATAACAGCAGTACTTAGCATTTACATAGCCCCTTATTGTATTCAAAGGATTATTGTAAGAGAAGTCAGTATTATTATTCGGGTTGCCGAAGGTCACCTAGTGAGTTGATGCGGTTGGCGAGAGCTGAACAGATTAGAGCCCCTCATTCATATAACAGTCTCTTACCTGCCATGACACACTATGGCCGCGTTTCTTCTGTGTTTCCTAATTATTCTTAAGGTTTGGTTGCCAACCGCTCTCAGGCTGAAGTAGTTGGAGGACCTCAGAGTGCTTTTTATTTTCCACCGACTGTCGTTCATTGCATGAGTCGCTTTGAGCATACAACATTGTATGTCACATTATACAAATAGCTCTCTGACATGGTTTTTTAAAAAAACGAATAAATAAACACATACTTTTAAGAGTAATGTCTCAACTTCTTCAGGTCATTTTTGGTATGCTTCCCCCCCCCTCAGGTAAACAGGTGGGAAACAGAACCTTAAGACAAGGAGACCTCAGTAAAACCATTTGAATTAAAACAAGTATAATGCTATTTTCTCAGGCGGGTTACACGTTACAAATATTATTATTTTTGCCTGGAGTGGTGCTGGATCAAAAGGGCATACGAGGATTCCTTGTTTTCTAGAAATGTAAAGTGTGCATTTTCTTTTGGTAGCCTCTTTGGCTTGGACTGTAATGAGGCTTTCATGAATGGAAAAGGGGTTTTTTTCTATTTATTGGAACATAGGAAGCTGCGTTATTCTGAGTCAGACCATCTAGCTCAGTATTGCCTACACTGACTGGAAGCTCCTTTCTGGAATTTCAGGGAAGAGACTTTCCCAAGTCCTACCTTGGGCTGGGAAATGAACCCGAGACCCTCTGCATGCAACCAAGATCCAGAGGAAGATCCCACTGGTGGAATGGGCAGGAGGGATTTTTTTTTACTAAGGCTCCCTCCCCCTGCATCTTCCTCCCTCCATTTCATGATGTTCCCCACAACTGAGCAAATTTTGGGAGGCACAAAGTGCTGAAGTTGGAAGGGCAAATGCTAGAAATTGTCTTCCCCATTCCACTGATGGAAGCATCACATCAGCAGAATGCCACTCAGTGGGCACTTCTACCCTTTGGAGCAAACTCATTATCCCAACCTTGATTTCTGAGAGCCTAAAAAAATTCTAGATGTCATATAAGGAGCATCTCCACCTACTTCAGTATGGCAGTGAAGAAACAGGATTCAAGTAAATGAATGTCCATCAGTGAGAGATTTCCCCTCTCTCATATTGAATTTCGAAAACAAATTCTATGGCTTATCAGCTTTTATTTTTACAGCAGAGGATAAATTTAGGCCACATCCAGACCTTACATTAATAGCACTATTATACCCTTAACACAGTCATAGCCTCCCCCAAAGAATTCTCAGAATGTTCTAACCATCAATCCCTTTCCCCAGGGAACTCTGGGAAGTGTAACTCTGTGAGGAGAATAGGGGCTTCCTAACAGCTTTCAGCACACTTAACAAACTACAGTTCCCAGGATTCTTTTTGGGGAAACCATGGCTGTTAATGTGGTATAGTAGTGCTTTGAAGATATGGCCTTATGTAGTTTGGAAAACATGCTTTATTTAAGCCAGGTGATGGTGAAAGAATACTTCAGGAAATAGCAATTACGTGATATACTGGCCAGGCAATTTCCCCAGCCATTCTGTCAAAGCAACCACTTTATTCCATTAAAAAGGAGAGAAGCCACTGAAGTAACCTTGTTACTGAAGAGAATTCCTCAAGAAAAATATGAGGAAAACCCTCTCTTCATTTCCCCATCAGACAAAGCAGAGAGGTTTTTTTATGTGTCATTCCAATGTTCTCTCACAAAGCGCATTGTTAATTTGAAGTGGAACATATCAACACTTGGTAGCAGTGGATATTTCTATTTCTGCCTCATACTCAGATTGTAGCCAAGCAATCTGAGACTTATCTCTCCCACAGACATCCCATTGAGCAGACGGGTCACTGTGTCCAGAAGATAAGAAAGGGTCTAGTGGAACCAGGACCCCTTTGTGGGCTCATTTTGTGGGAACAAATGTTATTTGTTACAAAACTAAACACTAATATACAAGCAGTAGGGAAGATGCTTTCGCACAACATGAAATATGTAAAACAGCTAGCAGGAAAGTCATGCAGAGGCAATTCTGCTGACATGAATTATACAGGCATTCTTTACCTTATCATGACCTAGATATGCTAATTACCTCAAGAAACGCACCCATTGACGTCAATGGATTTTAGACTACTAGTGATACACCCACACTGCAAATATGATACCCAGAAACAGCATCTAATGTTAGCAAATAACTTTTACACCAGCTCATCCCATGGGCATGGAATTTTTTTAAAAAAAATGTGTTGTGATATGTCCTGCAATGGTGTATCAAAGGGAAGGCATTAACTAATACCTGCTAGTTTGGGGAAAATGTTCCACCATGCTTCTATCTTTTGTGACTTCAGGGTGTTATTGTTATGGTGTCACCGTGCAATTTAGGGGTGCGGCCCAGGTGTGGCCCTCCAGATGTTGCTGAACAACAGCTCCCATCATTCCCAGCCAGCATGGTGAAGGGTCGGGGGTGATGGGAGTTGTAGATCAAAGCATCTGGAGGGCATCAGTCTGAGGAAGGGTGGAGTAGAGGACTGTCCTTCAACTAGAGGACTGTGCTGTGTAAAGTAGGCACATGATCATCCAAAGCACCAATGAACGGTTGCACAGATTGGCTTCTACACTATTGGGCGCAAGGACATGTGGTTTGGATTGATTACGAATCCAACAAAGAGTGCTAGAAGAGGAATAGAAAAGGATCTCTCTTACTCATCCTAAAATGAAACACAGGGAAGCAAAAACAGCAGGAAAGATTGGTATGAAAATGAACATGGAAGAGAAGTCACCTTACAAATCCAGTGTGGACCAGTTGTGATACTCTCCTAGTCACTGTTATATGGAAGAAAGACCAGCAGTCATGGACTTCCGGGGTGGCGCCATCGGTAATGGCGGACTCCCTCTGATCCGGAGGGACTGGCTCTACGGAAATCGGGTCTGTTCCTCTACGGCGAAGCGGGGACCCTTTAAAAAATCACAGGCAGGTGAAGCCTGTGACCGTGGGACTCGGCGGGCACCTTTCGCCCCCCCCCCCAATTTGTAAAGGAGCCCAATTACGGGCTCCGGAGCGAAGCGGGGCAAGCGGCACGGTGCTGAGAGTCAACTGCTTCTTCCGTGGAGCGAAGCCAAACAGCCATTACCGGAGAGCGCTACCTTTTTCCTGTGACAATCTGGCTACAAAAACAACTACCTGTGAGTAGGTTAAATTTGGACAATTGGACTCTAAACAACGATCCGTGAGTAGAACGGAAATTGGACTAAGAAATTCCTTTTAATTTGGCACTGAAGCGGGAAGGTCTAAACAGGAAGTCAGCCTTCCGCTTTTTGTAGAATGATTAAAGCAAAGACATAGCAAGCTAGAGTTTAGAAAACCGTTTGTAAAGGATCAACTTTCATCATCTAAAATTACTGAACCCCCTTTGGAAGCAGGAGAAGAGGGGGGATTTTTTCTGGACTGTTTAAACCTGCAGAAGAGTGTGTAAAGAAAAGCAATTTTCCACCGTCTTGAACCTGGGAGCGGGGTGTCAGGACAGACATTTTTAGAGTTCATTGACTATAGACAAACGTTTTTGACAGACAGTTATAAGAAGAGAAACATAGTGATTCCATTGTTCTCCTTTGCAGTTAAAAGGAACAAAATATTGACAAAATATCTAAAAAAGGAAACTTTGTTGTTAGATCTGCTTTAAAAAAGAGAGAGAGAGAGATGGATACAAATAGAAGTTCTTCCCCTAGAGGGAGCTTGTGAAACTGTTATTAAATCTGAACTGGGGAGCCTTGCAGCTGCAATAGATTAAGATCGTGGGATCAGACTTTGACCTTGCACAACAATGTACTCGGAGGCTCTGGTGCGTGCTTTCTGCAAGACAAGTGCTTTATTGGAACAGTTACATGAGAAGACGGATTTGATGACTGTTGCGATCAGAAATTTTGGACAGGTAGTGGGTATCTATATAGAACCCACTCAGGAATCAATTCAGGAGTGTGCTCTGACAGATCAGATGAGGGAGGAGGTTGTGGCTGGACCCCGGGAGGCAGAGATGGAGGGAACCGTGGCCCAGCAGGAACATGAGTTGTTGGATCTGACGAATGAACCTGGAAAAAGCCAGATTTGGAGAGATAGAGTCTTGTTTGGCTTGGAGATGGGGGGCTGGATAGACCCCCCTATGCAGGGATGTTTTGACTTTTCAAGTCTGGCGTTGGGCCGGGAGGAGTTTGGGGTTGTGGGGTCCTCAACTTTGGAGGGACCTTGAAACATGCTTTTAAATACCACATGGAGTTCAGTGTGGACTATGGAAAAGGGGCTGATCTGTCGAGAAGGGACAAAAATATTGTCAAGCTGGAGTCTCCACGAGTGAAAGGAGCAGAAGACAAAGTAAAGTACAGGTATAAATATGAAGAAGATCTGCGGAAGGGACATGGAAGAGACTTAAGGGCCTCGGACATAAGGTTACCAGGTTAATGAACTAGATGGATGGGATAGAAAGGACTGACAAAACCCGAGACCAGGAGGAAGAGACGTTGGATGAAGATTGGAGAAAGTTTTTAAAATTCTATTTAGGAATGTTTTCTAAAATTAATGAGTATTAGAAAAATGTTGGAACGAAATTATTTGGCTTTAGCAGAAATGTTAAAAAGAACTATGTAAGAATATGTTATGGTTATGAGAAATTGGTATAAATAAGATTTAAGTTTTAAGTTTTAGGGTTTTTTATGGTAAGATAAGGTTAAAATAGATTAAGGTAATTTAATGACAGACTATTATGAAAAATGGAAAGGATTTGCTGTGACAATCAACAACTAGAATACAAAAAGGGAGGTGTGAGGAGGTCGATGAAATAAGGTAATGACAGTTAAGGATTTGGGAATATTGGATCTGTTTTTAAATTTTTGTGGTTTATTTTTGCTTTCTGATTTTGATGTGCTATGTGTTTTGTTTTTGCTTTTTGATTTTGACTTTTATCGATTTGTATTGTTTAATTGCTATTTGTTTCTTTCCTTTTTTTCCTTCTTTTTCTTTTTTTTGTAATTTTAAAATTCTCAATAAACATCATTTAAAAAAAAAAAAAAGACCAGCAGTCATGCTGAAGTAAAATCTGAAAGGCCTCTTGTTTAGGAGAAAACCCTTCTGTATTGAACTCCAGCTCTCCTTCCTGACCTAAATCCCAGAAGAACCAATAATGTATTACACCACAGCCATGTTCATAATCTATGTTCTTGATTGCTGCTGGGAAGAAGGCTTTATTTGCCTTGGCATCTTCTCACTTCCAGGAATTTTGTGTCTCTCTTCAAGAGTTCTGTGTCCACCAATGAAGGGTGAGAACCACTGAGTTGGGAAATGTTTGTTTCTGCATACTAAATGATAATTTTATGCTGGTGAATGGATAGGATAAGTGGAAATGGAAATTCTTCTGCTCATTAAATTCTCATGAAGATGTACCCTGCAAAGCTGCCCTCCTATAACATTATTGGCAATGTTACAAAGCTAAATTAGCCTGTTAGAACAATCAGATAATACAACTTTGCACTAATGCATCAATAAATCTCCAAAGCACAACTACCACCTGGGGTTTTGGCAAAAGCTATAAATTTTAAAAAGTAAAACAGCATATTTATCTCCAGAGTTAAGAACATAGGGCTTATCCACACCTCTTCTTCTCCTGCTGTTTCCCCCCAGGGGAAACTGCTCTTTAGCACTAAATCAGAGCAAATGTCAATTCTGGTTTTCTCCAGATTGATGTTTGCTCCAGTTTGGTACTAAAGAGCAGGTTTTCCTTGGGAAACGAATGGGGCAAGGGGGAAACCACTTGGGCCTGTGTTTTCTAGGCATGGAACAAGCAGAAGTGTAGACAAACCTATGAAATATAGGAAAAGCCCTCTTGGATTAGACAAAGGATCCACTTAGTCAAATATCTAGTTTCCAGCAGTGGTCAGTCTGCTGTTAATAGAGCTCCCAATAAGATATTTAATACAACACAAGAGAGAATTAATGATTCATGGGAATTTAGCAATATAGGAAGCTGTCATATACAAATTCAAACCACCGATCCATCTAGTTCAGTACGGTCATGATGATCCTTCTTTAGCAGACTTACATTATGATTATAATATAAAATAATATAATATAATATAATATAATATAATATAATATAATGAGCCCTGCTGGGTCAGGCCAAAGGCCCATCCAGACCAGCATCCTGTTCTCACCATGGCCAACCAAATGCCTAGATGGGAAGTTTGCAAGCATAATGCCATTCTCCCCATTTGCAATTCCCAGCAACTGGCATCCAGAGGCGTACTGCTTTTGACAGTAGAGGTAGGCCACAGTCGTCATGGCTAGAAGCAATGGATAGCCTTTTCTGCCATGATTTGTCTAATCCACTTTTAAAGCCATCCAAGTTGGTGACCATCATAACATCCTGTGGGACCAAATCACATAGCTTAACTATGCGTTGTGTCACAAAATGCTTTCTTTTGTCTGTCCTGAATCTTCCAACATGCATGATTGATAATAAAAATGCACAGCTTACTCATATGATTAAACAGCAAAATGCTTTTTAAAAGGACAGCTCTGAGCCATTTTTGCAGAGGTTTCAGATAGGGGTCGTTCCATCTGCAAGCATAACAGATGTTCTACTACTAAGCTATGAACTTTCCTGAATAGCAATCGTTCTTTAACAGTTTTGGGACCTCGTGCTAGAGCAGGAAGTCCTCCAGTGAGACTCACTTTTGCCACCAAATCTTGGCAGCAAGAACATAGTGGAGAAACAGAATTGCTTCTGTGCTTGTCTTCCAGTTGTAGCAGTAATTGTCACTCAAGTCAAGCAAATGATCTACTTATTCCAGCAGCTGACATACTAACACTTGGAGGTCTTATATTGTTCTCACGGGTCATTAGAATTTCCTGTCTGGTTTGGAAAGATCAGCCATGGTTCCAAAATGACTCATTGCCACCTGCGACCCATCTCAAGCAGGATTATAAACAACATACCCTTAGAATAGTGAGTGAAATGCCTCCCCTTCAGCAACATTCTCTTTAGAGAACATCAAAGGAGATGGCAGATTCAATCACCATTGAGAAGATGGAGGAGGAAATATAGTAACATATTGCCTGACATTGTCATGATCCATGAGTGGCAGAAAACAGACATCCTGTAAGTAGGGAGACTTCCATCTGGCAAGAAGATGGCTTTAATGAGTGGCACTGTGATATGACAGATAGTAACAGAAAGTAGAAAGTCAGATTAGAAAATTAGCTTTCCTTGTTTCACATCTGCACAATGGGGCAGCTGCCAGTCACTGTCTCCAGGGGGAGGTTTATCTGGTTTTGCAACCACGTGCAAAGTCATGTTCCTCTAAGTTTTAAAAAAACAGCATAAAATGAATCAGTCTGTTATGGAGCTTTAAACAAATGTGAGGATGAGAAGCAAGCTGTTGCAAATTGGCACAGATGATGCAGAATATTAATATGAAATGAAATGTTGCATTTTCCAATAAAATGCAGATCTCAGTTAACTCTTCCATACCTATAGCACTCTCCCCACCATAAATGGAAATGGCTACAAATTATATAGGACCATGAATGTCATCTATAAATTGTACTTAACCATTTAAAGAATGTATAAAAATACAATTCACATATAATCTTACAAAAAAGTATGAACTTGCATGAAACATACTGTCAGGGAACTGCCATCGGACGGAAGGGAGGTGAAAGGGCTCACACAGGTTGGGAGAGACGCAGCAGCTGAAGAGGGAACCAGCAGGGAGGTGAAAGGGCTCACACAGGTTGGGAGAGACGCAGCAGCTGAAGAGGGAACCAGCAGGGGAGAGGAGCTGAGCTGGAGGGATGGCTCAGAGACACTTCCAGCGAAAACAGTGGGGAGGTTTCAGGACCTCCTGTAAGAACACCCACTCCTCGCCGGAAACTGTCACGCAGAGATTCCAGAAGACGTGTTTCCGTTAAGGAGCTTTTATGTTGGAAGCGATTACGAAAGCAACCACTGTCGGAATCTGCTAGTGACTAGAGGAGACATGTCTGAGGGGCTCCGTCACAGACAGAGGTTTGTGGACTTGAACAAACTCTGAGGGGATACGATTTTACGCACAAGCAGCTCATCATCCCATCACAGCATTCCGACAGTCTTTGAAAGCAGCTTGTGCAGGAGAAGGCATCATGAGCAACCCAGCCGGAACCGGAGAAGCAGGAGCTGGAGTGGGTCCAAGCCTGGAAGAAAGGTACCGGGTGTTGGAGGTCCAGCTAGCGATGCAGACGGCGAGGCTTGAGGAGAGGAGGGCTCAGGATGCAGACCACCAGGGCAAAGCCCCCCAGCTCGCCAGAAAGGTACCAGGATTGGTGCAGAAGTTTGGGGGAGCCCACAAACTATCATGGCTTTCGGACAGCAATGCAATATGCCCTCAATCTGCAGTTTGATGAATTCCCTGACGAGGAATCACGAGTGGCTTTCGTGATTGAGCATCTTGAAAAGGGGGCGAGAGACTGGGTTAGACCCCTGATGGCAGCGAATAGTGACGTCCTAAAGGACACGATGAAGTTCTTTCGCGCCATGGATCTGATGTTTTCCAGCGATATTGAAAAGGGAGTGGTGCGCAGACAGTTAATGGGTTGCAAACAGGGGAGCCGATCTGTCCGTGAGTATTGGACTGAGTTCACCATGCTTGTTCACAGATTGGGGTGGGACTTATCGGCGGAACCCATTCAAATGCTCTTTGAAGAAGGGCTTTCTTCGGCTGTGAAAGACGAACTTTCCCGGGCGCCCAGGGCGGAGTCTATGGACCAGCTGACCAAATCAGCGCTGGCCATAGGAGCGCGCCAGGAGGCGAGAGCATTGGAGAGGCGGGAAGGGAAAGGGGAACGTTGGAAGGAGTTCCGCATTCCAGACATTCCAGAGCCAACTTTCCCACCGGCAGAGCCGATGGAAATCGGAACAGCAGCGCGCGCGCAGTTTCAAAGCCCAGTGAGGGGGCAAAGAGGAGGGAAAAGGCGCCCGGAAATGCTATCTCTGCCAACAGCCAGGTCACTTTGCCAGAGTCTGCCCCCAGAGGAAAGAATGGCAAGGGATGGTAGGAGCTGTGGATGGAAGAGAGGAAGAAATACCGGAGCAAGTAAAGCCAACGCCTGGCTGCCACTGTCGGGGCACAGCAGCCAGGCCAAAGAGCAGTGAGAGTGCCCACGCCAGAACCTCCTAAACCCGCTCTAGTGATAGAAGTGACGCTAGAGCTGCCAAACGGACACCCTCTAAAGATAAAGGCGCTGTTGGACTCAGGCAGCTCCTGCAATTTCATGAGCAAAGAGTTTGCAGCTGAACACCAGATACAGACAATCCCTTTAAGCAGCCCCCTGCAGGTGACCACGATCGATGGCAGGGAGCTGTTGGGTGGAGAAGTCAGCTTGCAGACCGTCCCAATGATAATGAAGGTAGCAAGGCACACCGAACTGATAGCTTTTAATGTGGCCACCTTGGGAGGAGCTCCCATTATATTGGGGATGAGCTGGCTAGCGTTACATGATCCGCTGGTGGGCTGGCATCAGAGAGTGGTTTCTTTTGGTTCAGCACATTGCTTAGAACACTGCAAAGAGGGAAAGGGTTTGGCAGGGGTCCAAGCCACCCTAGCAGGGACTGAAGTAACAGAGAACGTGAAGGTACCACGACAATATGCAGATCTCCGTGACGTCTTCAGCGAAAGGGAAGCTGACCAACTACCCCCGCATAGACCCTTTGACTGTCAAATCAATTTACTCCCTGGAGCACAGCTCCCTGTAGGCAAGCTGTACGCCATGTCAGACAGAGAGATGCAGGAGTTAAGAGAGTTCATTGACAAGAACCTGAAGAGAGGGTTCATCAGAGAGTCCAGGGCGGTGGATAAGAAAAACACGAACAAGCCAAGGCTGGTGTGTGACTTCAGGGCCTTAAATGCAGTGTCAGAACCAGTAGCCTTCCCTATGCCCAGGATTGACGACATTTTGACAAGGGTGCGGAAGGGAAAGATTTTCACCAAGCTGGACCTAAGGGGGGCGTACAACCTGGTACGAATAAGGAAGGGGGATGAATGGAAAACCACTATGTTCACCCCTTTAGGGGCATTTGAATATTTGGTTATGCCCTTCGGCCTACAAGCAGGCTCCGCAACATTTCAATCGTTTATGAACCACGTCCTGGGGCCTTTGCTTTACAAGAATTGTGTGGCCTTTTAGACGACGTGTTGGTGTATTCTGAGAATGAGGAGCAGCATGTGAGAGACGTCAGAGAAGTGTTGAGCAGGCTGCAAGCCAACCAGCTGTGGGTGAAACTGGAGAAGTGTCAGTTTCATACCAAGGAGGTGGAATTCCTGGGGTATCGCCTGTCAGACAAGGGATTGGCCATGGATCCCGGCAAGGTCCAGGCGGTGCTGGAATGGAAAACACCCAAAACAAAGAAGGATGTGCAGAGGTTCCTAGGATTTGGGAACTTCTATCGTAAGTTCATCCGAAACTTTGCCCACCTGACGGCGCCCATTACGGACTGTCTCAGCAGTAAGAAGAAGTTCGTGTGGACTGAGGAGGCGGAGCGAGCATTTGAGGAACTAAAAGGGCCTTCGCTCGGAACAACAACTCCTGCATGTGGATATACAAAAACCGATGAGAGTGGAAACTGACGCATCAGACAGAGCGATTGGGGCGGTGCTTCTGCAGCCAGGGAAGAAGGGGTCAGAGTGGAGACCGTGTGCCTTTTTTCGCGAAAGCTGAACAAATCCGAGAGGAACTACACGGTGTATGACCGAGAACTACTAGCCATTCATGAGGCGTTCCGGAGATGGAGGCACCTGCTAATTGGCGCACAACATAAGGTGCAAGTGTGCACTGACCACAAGAACCTAGAGTATTGGAGGACGGCACGAGTGCTCAACCAACGGCAAGTGAGATGGGCCCAGGAGTTCTCCAAATTTAACTTTGAGATTAGTTACGTGCCAGGCCCAGAGAACATTAGGGCGGACGCTCTCTCGCGCAAACCTGAATATTTGGAGGGGGAGGGGCACCCGAAGAGAGACATGTCATTCCAGAGGACCGCTGGGTGTGTGGGCGGCATTGGTGGGACAAAGAGAACTGGTAGAGGAAACAGAGAATGATGAATACGCCCAGAATAAGCTCAGAGGTCTTAGGGGTGAGGGAGAGGAACCAGGGGTTTCGAGGAAAGAAATGGAGCTTTGTATTACAAAGGGGCACTGTATATCCCTGAAGGAGAGTTAAGGGGAGGGTACTCAAGCAGTTGCACGACAGCCCTACGGCAGGGGCATTTTGGACAACACAAAACCATGTGGTTGGTCACCAGGGAATTTTGGTGGCCTAAGGTGAGGGAAGATGTACGTGAGTATGTAAGAGGGTGCGAGCAATGCCAGCGAGCCAAAGGGGAAAGGCGGGCGCCAGCGGGGCTATTAGAACCCTTACCAACCCCAGAACGACCTTGGGAGGCAGTGTCGATAGATTTTATGACTGATCTGCCGAAGTCCAAAGGGAAAACAGCCATCATGGTGGTGGTAGACCTACTAACAAAGATGTGCCACTTTGTAGCTTGCTCGCATGCAGTCACGGCGGAAGAGACAGCGAAGTTATTTGTAGAACACATTTTTAGGTTGCACGGGGTGCCATTGAGGGTGGTCTCAGACCGAGGAAAACAATTTACTTCCAGGTTCTGGAGGAAGCTCATGAGCTTACTGCAGGTGGAGGTCAATTTTTCGACTGCCCGGCACCCTGAAACCAACGGGCAGGCGGAAAGAGCAAACGGTGTCCTCCAGCAATACTTGAGGTGTTATGTCAATGACAGAGAGAATGACTGGGTAGAAAAGTTGGCGCTGGCGGAATTTGCCTACAACAATGCCGAGAATGTGTCCACAGGGATGAGCCCCTTCTTGGCTAATTATGGGTGTCATCCCAGGGCTTTCCCAGGGGAGATGGGCAGAGATGGAGCGTCCCGGCAGCCGAGCATTTTGTGGAAGAAATGGAAGCAATCCATCGTCAGCTCCAACTCAACTTAGAAAGGGCGAAGGAAGAATACAAGAGGCAGGCAGACAAGAACCGAAGGGAAGGTGAAACCATAAGGGTGGGAGATAGGGTGTGGCTGTCAACCCAAGGGTTGCCGTTCAAAGGAGGTTGTAAGAAATTAAGACCCAGGAGGTTGGGTCCCTTTGAGGTCATTCAACAGGTCAACCCAGTGGCTTTCAGGCTCCGGTTACCCAACCACATGAAACTGCACCCAGTATTTCACAGGTCGTTACTGTCACCGTACGAAGGGGGACGAGAAGGGCTGGCCACTCGGGGACCGGTCGTAGAAGAAAGAGAATGCAGCAGCCATGTGGCAGAAATCCTCGACGCCAGGTGGAAGGGGGATCAGGTGGAGTATTTGGTAGCGTGGGAAGGAGAACCGGAGTCAGAAAACACTTGGGTAATGGCTGAAGATATCAATGACGAGGTATTGATAGAAACGTTCCATCAAAGGTTCCCAAGGAAACCTCAGCCTGTGGAGAGGTTCCGGAGGGAATACTTTGGGACCACTGATGAAGGGGAGGAGTTGGAAGGATTCCCGGACTCGGAAGGGGAAGGGAGATGGACTCTGAGGAGGAGGTGTACTTCGAGACCAGGAACCGCAACAGGTTGAGAGAAGTGTTCGAGACATCGGAAGATGAAGGAAGTTCATTCCGGGTTTTGCCTCCTCACCGCCCGTAGAGGAGGGGGCGAGAGGGGGTGAAGGGGGCCCTGGAGGGGAGGTGGATGTCAGGGAACTGCCATCGGACGGAAGGGAGGTGAAAGGGCTCACACAGGTTGGGAGAGACGCAGCAGCTGAAGAGGGAACCAGCAGGGAGGTGAAAGGGCTCACACAGGTTGGGAGAGACGCAGCAGCTGAAGAGGGAACCAGCAGGGGAGAGGAGCTGAGCTGGAGGGATGGCTCAGAGACACTTCCAGCGAAAACAGTGGGGAGGTTTCAGGACCTCCTGTAAGAACACCCACTCCTCGCCGGAAACTGTCACGCAGAGATTCCAGAAGACGTGTTTCCGTTAAGGAGCTTTTATGTTGGAAGCGATTACGAAAGCAACCACTGTCGGAATCTGCTAGTGACTAGAGGAGACATGTCTGAGGGGCTCCGTCACAGACAGAGGTTTGTGGACTTGAACAAACTCTGAGGGGATACGATTTTACGCACAAGCAGCTCATCATCCCATCACACATACGAATGAAATTTATAAACTACAGTGATTATAAACTCAACAATATAGAATGATACCTTAACATCAAGCTAATGTGATAAACCACAATAAAATGAATGCTGAAGAAAGACCAAATGTGTTTCAACTCCCCAGACAGCCTTTCTCAGTGGTCAACTAATGAACGGCACACAGTGTTGTATTATGGCTGATCTAATGTATATAGGTAAGGCTTAGTCAGTAGAGCATGAGACTCAGGGTAATGGGTTGGAGCCCCACGTTGACTGAAAGATTCCTGCATTGCAGAAGGTTGGACTAGATGACCCTTGTGGTCCCTTCCAATTATTTGATTCTAAGAGACCAAACATAGTCATAGATTATAATGCCCATATTGTGAGTCTAAACATGTACAGGCTGATATAAAAGGTGGCCTTTTTCTAGTGCCCAATCATATCTATTTCTAAGGCAGTCTCCAGATTTGGTAAATCATGCACCATCACTGTTATAATTCCAGTACATGCCTAGCTGGATTTTCCTATAACCATAACTGATATCCTCATCCTCTATAGGTGGGGCAAATGCATAGTGCCTTCCAGATGTTGTTAGATTAAAATTTCCATCATCCCTGACCACTGTCCACACTGGGTGGGTCTGGTGAGAGTTGTAGCCCAACAACACCTGGATGGAAGTACATTGGATACTCCTGCTCTACTGGAACAAACCAAACTAAACTAATCTGAAAGTTGTAGTCTCACCTTTATGTAATGTCAACTGAATCCATTGAGATTTACTTCTGAATAAACTAATACAGGACTGAAGTGCACATCTAAGTGTGGATAGCTACATCTGTGCATAATCCTGCCCTGCTTCCCTTCCCTCTCTTCTCCCTGCTATGTTGAAATGTACATTATAAGGTCCTGGGAACAGGACGGTGCATTCATTTATGGGTTTCAGAGAAAGGATACATCGCACGTTTCCAGAGGGAGGCCATGTTTTGAGAGTGGCTCAGCCTAAGAATGGACATGATCGTGTGACAAGATAAATGTGTGAACCATCAGATAGGAAAAGTCAAACACCTCATAACTGTGACCTTTTCATCAGTCTACACTATGACTGTCTGGTCATTTTAATTTTCTCTTCCAAGATAACTGCGGGAGAAAGGAAACAGCCATCTAGTCCAATTACAAAGATACCCAAAAGGTCAGAGTGGCATACAGATTATGGTTATCTTTCACCAGATTGATGGGGCACAAATGTTCTTTCAAGATACTAATCAGGTCAGCAGAACAGGAATTATTCAAGCTAGTTTTACGTACTGAAATGGGACAGGGTGTATGGTCTCCTGTAGATCTTAGTTCTGTTGGTTTATGCTTACATTTGTTAACACCCCTTTATATACAGTACACACTTAAATCTATTATCTGACTCATGGGAAGAGTCCATTACATGACTCTTATTACTAGGGACAAACAGGATCTTGTCTTAAGACCGGAAGGTATAGGGAACACAAACATCTTCAGGCAATTGCTTTACAGTGTAGCAGAAAGAGGCACAGATTACCCAAATTTGTGGGTTGTTTGTGAATTTCATCCTGGATGGGGAGGGAGAATAAATCCAGATCCAGAATGGCTTAATTATAGCAAACCCCCTAAGTAGTTTACAAGAAACATGCAAATGTCTTCACTGTGTCATTTCAATCTTTCCCCTCTGCTCCGCTGCCCAGTCACTCTCCATTACTTCTCCCTGGCATATACTGAAGATTGCTTTGAAAGTAACTTTGGCTCTTGGACCACTAGGTGACACCAGTGCTCACCAATCCATCCCTTCTTCCCTGCATCAAACTGGTTTGACAAAATGTGTCGGCTTCCAAATCAGATATTCAATTGGGTTTGTTGAAGATAAAGGTAAAGGGACCCCTGACCGTTAGGTCCAGTCGCAGACGACTCTGGGGTTGTGGCGCTCATCTCACTTTACATGCCAAGGGAGTTGGCGTACAGATTACGGGTCGTGTGGCCAGCATGACTAAGCCGCTTGTGGCGAACCAGAGCAGCACACGGAAATGGCGTTTACCTTCCCGCCGGAGAGGTACCTATTTATCTACTTGCACTTTGATGTGCTTTCGAACTGCTAGGTTGGCAGGAGCAGGGACTGAGCAGCGGGAGCTCACCCCATCGCAGGGATTCGAACCGCCAAGCTTCTGATCAGCAAGCCCTAGGCTCTGTGGTTTAGACTACAGTGCCACCCGCATTGAAGATAGAACCCGTGCTGAAGATAGGGTTGCCGTATTTCAAAAAGTGAAAATTGTAGAGCTTTCTTTGGCCGAATGATGATGATGATAAATAAGTTTTGTTTACTTTTATAAATTTAGCACTCAACTTTAGTCTTCAAATGAATAAATATTTTTTTAAAAAATACACATTGTTAATGTGCCAGCAATGTGTATTTTTTAAAAATAAGCAAAGTGTCCAGAAAATTCAGTCAGATTCCTTTGGGAAATACTATTTTCACCAAAGCTGCTTGAGAAATATGTGTTGACATTAACATTTTGCCCAGTCAGTGCTTGCATTTCTGTTATGGCGTTCGAGTGGGAAATATTTTAATTCAGTGCTACTATCTGAAAATGCATAGCAAGTTTCTCATTAATCACATGTCTTCCTCTATCTATTTTTGCTGCACAGGTGTGATGCTACCACCATCATCTGAATTGCAGGATGAGTGGAAATGCCAGCATGTATTTCACTCCTTTCTTTTGATAGTTCCATTCAAGCAACAAGCAAGCTGCACAGAAAACCTCTCTCCTGATTGGATTGCTCTGTTGGTAACTCCCTAACAAATGAACAAGTACGTTGATGAAAGGAACAAGTGATGTCACTGTCTCCAACTCTTTCAAGGGTGCATGAGCTTTGATACTTCCCATTATTTCAGAACCAGCAAAGCTGATCAGAGACTGATAACAATAATTTCTGGTTATTTTATTATATTTTATATCTTATATTTTATAAGGATTGAGATTGTACACAGATCCATGCACTAAACCTATAACTTAAGACATCTACTGTATTATTCTTCATGATGTGGTCTTACACACAGACAACCGCTAAATTCTGTATTGCCCCCAAATGGAAGCACAAATAACCTCTAACTATAATGGAATGACTAAGAAAAACCTGGCAAGTTATGCTAATGATAAAACAAGAGTAACACAATATATAATAATTGAGAAAATGCATTTATTTCATTATGTGTGTGCGTGTGATTATTTTCTATTGCTCTTTTTTCTGTTTGCTGTATTATTTGCTAAATGATTATTGCATTGTAAAATTGAAAATTTACCATATATAGGTGTATGTATATATAAATGTGTTTGTATATAGATATAAATATACATACACATATACATATATGTATATGAGACATCTACTGTAATGAAATCCACCCCGCTTAAGAGAAATTGGATGACTTAACTCAGTTTTTGTGACATCTACTCAGAATTCTGTTCATTCATTGATTCTTTCATATCCCCTCATGCTGAAATCCACTTCTGAAACCATCCCATGTATTTTATATTGTCCCCCAAATACCACATTCCTGGAAAGCCAGATTTCTAAACGTTTTCACATACAGTATATGGTGGTGTCGGAACCCAAAGAATATAGTGCTACTCATTCAAAAGCATTCTCTCTCTGTGAATCTCAGCAAGAGGTGACTGCAAAGATCACTTTGTGATGGAGGGATTGTGGGCATATGAATCTAGCCTGAGCCATGTAGGAGACAGAAAGCATAAATCACAAATGTCATAGTCCACAATTGAAAAGATGGAACAGGACAGAAAAAAAAGCTTGACAGACCATTTGTTAGTGCTGCTGGTATCACATATACAGTGCAATCTTCTGCATGTTTACTCAGAAGTAAATCCACAAAAAAGAGCCACGTCAACTTGCATCAGCCAACTCCTCTATCTGGTCATAAAAGGTGGGCATAAGTGAAAATTTTCTTGATTACCACCACTAGAATATTATTCTTGTTAGTTATTATTTATTAAATTTCTATACCATCGCTCATCTGAGCATCACAGCGTGGTTTAAATATAATGCACAATAATAAAGAAATGAGTTTAACTAATCTCCACAAAGGATTTCAGAATAACACCTAGGGAACCTCTGGTCGTAGCTAACAACAAGAACAATGTTTCACAAATCACACAGAAAGCAAGTAGTGATGGATGAACTGCCCGTGGCTCAATGTGGAAATTGTATTGAGAGTTCGAATTAGGGTCATGATGTTTGTGCATGTGCACTTCCTTTCAGTGATGTATCGTTGTTCTCACAAGGAACACAGGAGTCAAACCGCTGGTCCATGTGGCTCAGTATTTTCTACACTCAGTGACCAGCAACAGCTCTGCGGGACTTCAGACAAGCCAATCAGGTGCAGCCATGGGACCTAAGATGCTCCACTACTTCTGCTAAGAATCCTTGGGAATTGTAGGTAAGGGGAGGCAGTGGCAGCAGTGCTGGCTTTTTAAACAGGTGGCAGGAGCTGTGTGACATTAACGTCCAGTCCTCTGCAGGCTCTGTCGATATCCCAATAAGGAATAATGTTATTGCCACTGTTGTTGTTTTAACAAGACTTGTGTATTACTTTAAAAGTCATTTTTTGCACCCTGCCTGCCCTTGGGATGTAGACTTTCTCTTACATGGAAACTCCTGGACCAGCTGGTTGCTCAGGAAATAACAATTCCCCTTTTGAAACGATCTAATCAATTTGTGCAAGCAAGGACATTTTCTTAGAGCATAAGGGGTTAAAGAAATCAACTTCCAAGCATGCACCAACAGTTGCTAGTGACTTTGATTATCCTGCCTAATAAATGCAGGCTACAGAGGCACTAAAAGAGCACATAAATTCATAACAGTCTCATTTTGCATTCCAAGAAGAGTGAGAATGTTAGGGCCAGGAGGTTCTCCCTGGGATACATCAGGGCAGCTTGGGAAATCATATTTCAAACCCATTATTTCTGAACTTTCTTGGCTTCACTAAAAATTATTTTCCCTGTTATGAAAGCATTTTTGCGCCTGCCAGAATACACAAAAGCTCCAGGAAGAGAAGGTGAATGGGAGAATGCAAACAAATGGATAGGATTGGGATACATTTCTATGCATGTTTGTTTATATACCAGGATGTTTTCCCCCTCTTCAAGCACAACCATAAAAACATAACGTCCACCAGATCGAACATTTCCACTTCAATGCATATACATACATACACACAAACATGCAGCGGGAGATAGGTAGATATAGATATACACAATTGTATTGCATTACTAATATTAATAACTATATAACAGTACTTTTTTCTAAAAAAAATGTTTAGGGGTACTCTCATTTTCCCACTTGTTAAGTTGTGGGCAAACATATCAGACGACACAGCGATTCTTCAAACAGCTCTTGTTTATTCAAAGGCCAGAACAGAACTGAACTGAAGAGCTCAGTCAGCCTGCTTATATAGAGCTCCAGAACAATGTAACTGCAGCAACTTTCTAAAACTATCCAATCACTGAACGTCACTTTCGATCCTTCATTTGCATAACTATCTACAGTATCCCCCTGCTGGCCCAGGGTGAGAACTTCAGCACATAACACTACTCATATTGAAATACTGCCCCTCAACAAGGCCAAACTTAGATTCACAAAATGTTTAGGGGTATGTGTACCCCTGCACCACCACCACCCCAGAAAAAAGCACTGACTATGTATTAATACAAAATCCCCTCTAAATATGTTACAATATGAGAAAGATGAAAAGGGACATACAAAATTTCATCGTAAGCTATTCAATATAATTCTCTACTCCATTAATACAAAATATATTGCTAGTATATTTATACTATGCATAAGTACTAAATAACTGACTGGACAGAATATTTATCAGCCTTTTCCAGATACTAACGCATACACATAAATGCCTTCCATTTGGCCACATGTGTTTTCCGGATTTCAGAATAGATGCTGTAATTCAACTTCAGGAGCCACTGTATAAATTCAGCTCTGTGTTATATCCAACACCTTCATTAAATCTCACTATTCCAAAACTTCTAGGCAATTTAACAGAGTTCTAAGTTTCAACAAAAGGAGGCAGAAAAGTCAGCTGGAACTAGAAGATGTCTGAAATCAGCCTAGAGCTTGTTATGATAATAGGATTTTAAACATCCCTTGAATGTAGTTCATACAGCTCTACAATGAAATATTTCCATTCTCCATTGACTGGAAGACATCCATATTATAAAGCCATGCAGGCAAAAAAAAAAAATCTCTTGAGAAAATAAATGCAATTTTAGTAAGACAAGTTTTTCAACTGTTGTAATCATTCTAATTACTTGAGAATGTCTCAATTTTTTTCCTTTAGAGCCTCTGGGCCCTTTTTGTCTTCAAATTAGCCATAGAAACGAAGTAATTTAGCACAAAACACATACTTATTAGCACATGATACAGTTTAGTAGCACAAGAAAATATAGGAAATCTAGACTTTCTTCTTTCTCTGTCCATTTCCCCCAAATAAGTGCAGCTGGACAATGTGTTTCGAGATGCATTTAGTTCACAGTAAGTAAATACGATATGGGGTAAGAAAACAGAAATATTCAATGGGTGAATGAATGGAATGATCATTCAAGAGGAGGAAGTAAAGCAAATCAGTTCTCAAGGGGCGGAGAGAGACACACAGCCATAGCAAGCAATTTTGTACATTTATACCCTACCAATTAAGAGAGTCCTCAGATGACTCTCACCCCCACCCCCAGAGATTGTGGTTTGTTATGTTGCTAGGCATTACGAAACAAGGGAATACCCTATTTGCCAAGAAGCGGAGCTATCTTCACCACAGAAGTCTGAGACAGACATTCTACATACTGTATAACAACATTTCCCCAGTATCCAGTTCATTTTAAAGCATGGTATTAAATGGGATTCATATTCCAATGAATGGGTGCACAGAGAGATGTGGAAAGGTTCGATGTAGCTTGAAAACAACAGGTGAAGAATCCTACATTTCTGACTTAAAACAAATTCTGCTAAATGTTTTATTAAAACTGTACTCGTACAGTTAAGTCCCAATTTCAGTGGGACTTGTTTCCAAAGAGAATGTCCTTGGGAATTGGAACTTGTTCAGACATGACTTTCAGTTAACACTACACAATCATACCATACCAATATAGCTGAATTGAATTGCTAATAATTAAGAACTCATTTAGACATCAAATGGTGACGTTGCATAAGGCCATTTTCATGAGAAGCTTCTCAATGAAATGCATATTTGCATTGATCAAAGTATATTGTGTGAATGGGAGTCAAAGTTCCAAAAAACATCAAGGTTAAGTCAGGAATTGATACCATCTGTTCAAGGCCTCAGGAGGACCCACCTGTAATAGCATTCACTACCACCTGCCACCCCACTTCCCTCCATTGGCATGTGTGTTGCCACCTAGGGCAGGATTTCTTTTCCTCCCTCCCCTTACTTCTCTGCCAGAAAAGCAGATTTATCCACCAACTACTGTGTAAAAAGGAATGGAACTGCGACTGCCAATCCTTTTTTTAAAAAAATAATATTTATTAAAGGTTTCAGAATTACAGAAAAAAAAGAAAAAATTAAAAACAACACTACAATACATAAAAAGGAAGAAAGAAAAAAGCAAAACACAAAAACCAATGCAACAATACAACAAAAAGATACAAAAAGAAAAGGAAAAAAAACATAAATCCCATATTACATATCTTTAACTTCCATTTGCTTGTTTCATTGACCTCCTCACACCTCCCTTTTTGTATTCTAATTTAATTAGTTATTTCAGCAAATTCTTTCCATCTTTCTCAATTTTCATTAAATAATTTATCTTAACAATTTAACCTGTTAATTAACTCAACAAATCCTTTCCATCTTTTCCCCATGTTCTGTTATTCAAATTACCTTAGTTTATTTAGCTTTATCTTACCGTAAAATACTTTAGAGCTTAAAGCTTAATACTCAATTATACATAACTCCTGGTATCATTTCTACTAGAGTCATATAGTTTCATTCCAACATTTTCCCTAATATTCATTAATTTTAGGCCAATTCCCTAGAAAAAAAAATTTCTTTATAAATTTTGTTACAGTCTTCATCCAACGTCTCTTCTTCCTGGTCTCGGGTCGTGTCAGTCCTTACTGTCCTTTCCATCTAGTCCATCAACCTGGTAGTCTTAT